TATCTGTGACCTTTTGGTTGTTCAGAAGAGTGCTATATAATTTCCATGTCTTTTTTTGTGCAGTCGATCATTGTTTTTGTGATATTGGGGTATTGAGATCCTCTAGTACGTTTTAGTGCTTAGTTGATCTTTCCTGTCCATTAATAATTGTTTTATATAGTTGGGTTCACTGGTATTTGTTGCATATATTTATGATTGTTATCACTTCTTGGATTGTTCCCTTTATAAAGATGTAGTGACCTTGTAAATTTTTTTTGTCTTTGAGACAGGGTCTCACTACATAGTTCAGGCTGGCCTTGAACTCACTTTGTAGCCCAGGCTAGTCTCGAAATCACAACGATCCTCCTGCTTCAGCCTCCTGAATGCTAGAATTACAGGCTTGTGCCACTATACCTGGCTTTGTCTCTCTTAATCAGTTTTCATTTGAAATTTATTTGTCTGCAAATAAGATAGCTACTTTTTTTGGGGGGGGTCCAGTTTCACTGAGTATTGTTTTCCATTCTTTGTCTTTCTGTTTATCAATTTCTTTTTGAATTAAATGTGTTCTTGTATGCAGCATATTGTTGGATCTGATTTCTTGGTCCATTCTGCCAGTCTGTCTTTTGATTGGTGAATTGAGACCATTACCACTGATGGTTAGAACTGATGTGTATTAACTTGTCTTTGTCATATTATTTTCCTTATCCCACCTCCCCTCACTTTTTTGTGCCCTCCCTCTGTTTAATTGTTTGCCTTCCCTGGTGGATTCCTTCTGATGGGGTTCATGGAGCTGTAGTCCTTATTGTCTGTGTGGTTTTTTTGTTTGTTTGTTTTTTGTGTTTTTGAGACAGGGTCTCACTCTGCAGTTCAGGCTGGCCTTGAGCTCACTTTGTAGCCTAGGCTGGTCTCGAACTCGCAGTGATCCTCCTGCCTCAGCCTCCCGAGTGCTGGGATTACAGGCATGAGCCACCACACCTGGCTCTTTATTATCTCTTTCTAGAATGTCCTTCAGAACATTTTGGAGTGCTGATTTTGTGGTTAGAAATTTCCTCAGATGTTCTTTGTCATGAAAGTATCTTATTTCTCCATCAATTTTTTTTTTTTTTTTTTTTTTATCTTTTTCGTTTTTACCAGTACCGGGGATCGAACTCACGACTGCCTGCTTGCAAGTCAGGCACTTATGCCGCTGAGATAAATCCCCAGCCCCTCCCTCTCCATCAGTTTTGAAAGATAGTTTCGTGGAGTACATCATTCTAGGTTGAATGTTGTTTTCCTTTAAACTTGGAGTGCTTCACTCTGAGCTCTGCTTTACGTCAGGGTTTGTGTTGAGAAGTAAGCTGTGATTCTGATGGCCTTTCCTTTATAGGTGATTTGTTTTTTCCTTAACAGCTTTTAAGATTTTATTCTTACGTTGAATTTCCAGAATCTTTTGAGTGGGTTTGTTTTTTTTTTTGTCTTTTTGAGACAGGATTTTACTATACATCTTGGGCTGGCCTTGAACTCACAACTGTCCATATGCCTCAGGCTCCTAAATGCTGGGATTGTAAGCATGTGTTGTCACACAAGGCTCAAATTTCTGGAATATTGAGTATATGCCTGCCTGGAGTTTTGTTTGTTGTGTTTTGTTTTGTTTTTTGGATTGTGGCTAACTTGAAATCTATATTCCTCATTTGCCTGTATGTTAGATTCTTTTTCCCTACCAGAGAAGTTTTCTGCCATAATGTCTGTAAAACAGTTTTTCGGGGCTGGGGATTTAGCTCAGCGGCATAAGCGCCTGCCTTGCAAGCAGGCAGTTGTGAGTTCGATCCCTGGTGCCGATAAAAACGAAAAAGACAAAAAAAAAAAAAAATTTTTTTTTTTCCTTTGGGTATATCATTTGTCCTATCTCCTGCTTTTTCACTGACTCCAATCTTAAGTTATTCTTTTCCTCATCTTCTAGCAGCTGCTGGTCCCTTGTTGTTTTTAAGACATCATGATCACTAACTGCAGTCCTGCCTTCCGAGATCCTGAGATCTGAGATCCTGTCTTTGCATTGGCTTTTCCTCCTGTGAATTCTTTCAATGAAATTATTCTTCTCCTGAATATCTGCTTGAATCAGCCTTATGGATTACATTTGTTTCCTATGCTGAGCATTCATAGTTTCCATAATTTTCTTTTTTTTTTTGGTACCAGGGATCGAACTCATGACCTCGTGCTTGCCAGGCATGTACTTACACCACTAAGCTAAAACCCAGCCCCATGGCTTCTATAATTTTCTTAAGCTCATCTATTTTTAAATCTGTCTGCACTCTGGGGTCACTAAGCACGGTTTTCATTGTGGACACCATTTCCACAGTTCTGAGAAATTATTTCAGATTAGATTTTTTTCTAGAGCCTCATTCAGTTGCTTCAGAGAGGCCAAGTGAGAGGCTTTTGGATTGTCCCATCTCATTGCCCCTGGGTTTGCCTTTGGTGAACTGGATGTTTGGGGTTGCATCTTAAGTGTCTTCTCATTTTCTTTTCTTTCTTTCTTTTTTTTTTTTTTTAATTCTTGGGATGATGCTTGTAAAGTGCCTGTGGTTTGTTGTTACTAGTATTTAGAACTAGCAATAAAAGTAAATGACTACTTCTCCAAGGTATAACTGGTTTTTGGTTTTGAGTGTGTCACAGGATCCTACCTCTTCATTTTGTTGTGGATGAGAAGTTGCTGCCTGCTTGGCTTAGCCCTTTGTTCTTTGGCACTGCTTCACAGTATTTTCTATGACCCTTAGTCAGTCTCAGTCTTGGAAGACCAGGAAGAATAGCTGTTTAGAACAGTTACATCACTTTGGTTAAAGTAGTACCATCAGCATCAAAAGTAGTACCAACAGCCTAGAAAATGACAAACTGAGGTAACCATTAACTTCTTAGCATTAACCAAAAGAACTAGGTTTGTAATTATGTAACAAAATTTGAAACCACAAAATTATATGCAGTATTTAAGTCCTTAACGTATCGATTTTACCCTCGGATTAAATTTAAAAGCAGTAAAAAAGAGAGAGGTACAATAAGTGAAAGTGATTAAAAGTAAGGCAGGAGGACGGGGGGATCGTGCCAACTTTAGGAAACTGGTGCAGGAGACTGGAGGGAAAGATAAAAAAGAACAGAACCACAAGGAGGCTAGAAATCATGTTCACACTCATAACAACATGATCAGACAATGAAGGAGAAAAAAGAAAAAACTGAAAACCACCACCACAACAAAGAAAAAAAATGAGTAGCGGAGAAAAAACAAACAAAAAAAGTCCATTTCAGCTTTGTCTCTGCTGTCACCTGCTAGCTAGACTACATGTAAAGAGTCCCGATCCCTGCTGATCTGTCCCAGCAAATCAACAGTAGCTTTTTGGCAGGGTAATGCGTAATCAATGAACCTGCACCTTCTGGCAGAGACCAGACTCATTCGGCCTGTAGCTGTCTGTGCACCTTCTGTGGGCCTGAGCCCAGCTGGGAGCTGCTCATTGGAAGTTCAGTCAGCCTGTCTCCTACATGGCTCCCAGCCAATCCCTCTCTTGCAGGAGATGACTGAGCCCTTAGCACTCCCTGCCTGCTAATGCAGTCCTCCGTGTCCACTGCTGCGTCTCCTTATGGAGGCCTCTGAGGTCACCAGCCATCACTGTGTCTGCAGGTTTGAGTGTCTCTTCTCGCCCAGTGAGTCCTGTGGGGCTCAGGGAGAAGGAGCTGCAATTTCCTCCTCCTTTGAGTTTTCTCTCTTCACTCTCTCTGTGGTCTTCAATTCACACTTCAGGTCCTTCCTAGGTCCGGGGGACCCACTTCTTTCCTTATCTTCTTCATGTTGCTGTATTCCAGCATCTGGATGGCAACTGTCAGAAGAGCCCTTTTTCTGCTGCTTACTACTCCACCATCCTGGAGCTTCTGTCCTATTTCATCTTTAGCTATAAAGACTTGCAAAATTCTTCTGAGTAGAAATTGCAAGTATTTAATTTTTTTTTAAATTACAAGTATTTGTGAAAGTGGATTTATTTTTCATGTAAATTTCCTTTGTTATAGACTTACAGTATAAGATTAAATAAGTTTGTTTTAGCATTATTTAACTTACATTCATCTAAGCAAGTTTTAAATTTTAGGAAAGGTAAAATGCGTGTACATGTAAAGTACAAAATTGAGCCACTTCAAACTTTTGTTTCTGTTTTGTTTTGTGCTGAGAATTGAACCCTGGGCCTTATACTAAGTGCATCCTTAGCCCTTTTATTTAACTTTATTTAATTTTATTTTTGGTACCTGAACTCACGACCTCACGCTTGCGAGGGCAGGTACCTATGCCGCTAAGCTAAATGCCTGGCCCTTTTATTTTTGAAGTTAAAAATTTTATTAGTATATGTTTGCAGCACATACTGTTTATATTCTTTGTGAGGAGTTGGTCTGTACATATTACATCTTCATTCCTTTTCTCATCCCCTTCCTGTCCCCCCATCTCTTGATCACTTTGTAATTGAGAAAGGTCTGTCTCCCTACTTGTTATCTAGCTTTTATTTTACTCTTTAAGTTCCCTTTTTATTTTTAAGATTTTGACATGGTTTGGCTGTGAAGCCCTTTGTGATCTTCCTGCCTCAGCCTCCTGAGTAGCTAGGAATACAGGTATATACGAATATATCTGACTTCAGCTGAGCTTTTTAGTATTGTATTTGGGCTGTTCCTATCCCCTTTCAGATCATGTTTAGGGAGCGCCCCGGGCAGAATCTGTTCTACAAAAACCCACCTGGATTTCAAAACCTAGTGCTAGACTTTTTTTTGGTGCCTCAGCTGTATTGTTTTTATGACTGTGTTTTATTTCCAGGGCCTTCCTGGCAGAAATTGCATAATCATACTTGGGAATATCTAGCTCTTTTAACATAAATTTAGTAAGTTAGGGCCAGTGGTACTTTGATTTTTGCAGTGACTGGTAGAATTAAGGTTTTGAAAATTGAACGAACGTAGTCTAAATGTTACGAACCCATAATTTAAAAAAATATATATATGTTTATATTTATACCTCACGTGTACAGGTGTTCCAGAGAGATGGGAATGATTTGCACATGACTTACAAGATAGGACTTGTTGAAGCTCTATGTGGATTTCAGTTCACTTTTAAGCACCTTGATGGCCGTCAGATTGTGGTGAAATACCCCCCTGGCAAAGTAATTGAACCAGGTAAAATTTGATTTTATCTGATCCAGGTTTCCTTTGTATTCTTAAAATTTTTTATTAGTGAATAGCTTTCAAAAGAATAGTATTGAACACTTTTCTTAGTAAAATTCTGATTTCCTCTTAAATAATAGGATGTGTTCGTGTAGTCCGAGGTGAAGGAATGCCTCAGTATCGTAATCCTTTTGAAAAAGGTGATCTGTACATAAAGTTTGATGTGCAGTTTCCTGAAAACAACTGGATCAACCCAGATAAGCTTTCTGTAAGTGGTCTTTAAGTGTATTGTGCGGGTGTGGTTCAGACAGTTGAATGCAGATGTCTTGTGCCCTTGGCGAACGATTTGGGAATGACAGTACGCAATATGTGTATCATTGTTGCCCCAAATGATGTGTTTTGAAATTTTGTTGTAGTTATTTTTTTCTACTTTTTTTCTTGAAACAAAATGGATTTAGAAAATAAATAAATAAATGCAAACATATTGGGGAATGGGGGTTGGAGACAGCACTTCTATCTGTAGCTGAGGCATGCTTTGATCTCACTACCCCTGCCTCAGCCCCTGATAGACAAGTGACTTTATCACCTTTATTTCGTTTGTTTTCTGTATGTATGTTTTCTGTATGTATATCCCCAGCCCTTTATTTTGCTTTTGTTTCTAAAATGAGATCACATAATTTTAAATGTCACTATTTTAACATTTATGTGATTAATCAGTTTTTCTTCTGGTTATGAAATTGAGGGCTGTTGATTTAAATGTCTGGGGGTGGGCAAGCAGGCCATTACTAGAGCAGACTAGGTGAGATGTCGTAGACTTCTGGAGAAGCAAACCCCACTCCTGAGTAGGGCGAAGGGGTCGTGTCCCCCCCCCCCCATAGCCTTAGCCACTGTTGGTTGCAGGAAAGTGTGACATTTTCCAGTACTGAAAAGTTGTACATGAGTTACACAAAAGGTGTCTGCAGAGTTTGCCTGTGCGTCATCTGTTGCGATCTCTGACTTTTAAGTACAAGGATTGGTCACTTCCCAGTTTGAATCTGAGAGAAGCAAGCCCCTGGATTATGTGAAAGAGGAGGCTGAAGAAAATAAACTAACCTCATTTTTGTTTTAATGAAGGAGTTAGAAGATCTTCTGCCATCTAGACCAGAGGTTCCTAACATAATTGGAGAAACCGAGGAGGTAGAGCTTCAGGAGTTTGACAGCACTCGAGGCTCTGGAGGTGGTCAGAGGCGGGAAGCCTATAATGATAGCTCTGATGAAGAGAGCAGCAGCCATCACGGGCCTGGGGTGCAGTGTGCCCACCAGTAAACTCTGCAGGCAAATTGCACAGGTGGATTTTCTTTCCATGTTTGCCTGATTTGTTCTCAGCAATCCAGCTGGAGTGTGATCGATCCAGATGAACTGATGGACATCTGTTGGTCTCTGTGTAACTTTTAAAATTGGTATAGTATCTTACAGAGTGTATAATTTAAACTAACCACAAAGCTTTACATCTTCATTTTGACCTTTCTGTAGCAGAATAAAGCACTCGAAAGGAAACAAGACTCCCTTTCACACCTGGGTTCTAAGTTTCAGTCCTGGTATCTGTGCTTGATTTTTATCAGTTTCGTGCAGATTTTATGTTTATTTTAAATTCAGACCCCACATTGTAAAGTTTGTACAATTTGCCCTGAAGCTTTGTGTTTGGCTGCACCTGCATAAGCTGCTACAAATAGAATAAAGAATCTCATAGCCTGTATCTATCATTTAGATGCATGGAAAAATGGGCTTTGCACACAATGGGTTTGGAGCTGAGTGGGAACAATTGAAAAATTACATTAGCAATGGTTGTAAAGTTTTTTTTTTTTTTAACCATCTTGTGAAAGGTGTCCGAAACTCGATAATAAAAAGCAGTTGGTGTAAATTATTCTTTGTGTCACATTTTTAGAAGGAAGAACATAGTTTGAACTATAAAATGTATTCTCAAACTAAAGAACATTTTGCTTAGTTCTGGTTTTTAAACAGCCCATAGAAACCCATTGGCCTAAAGCATATACTGTAGGCACCTGCCCATTTGTAGTCTAAAAGATAAAAATTGGTAGAAACAGGATTTATTGACTTCAGTGATACTTTGTGGAGTCAAGGACATCTGAGTTCTATGTTAGGATCCTGAACACTGGGGCTAGCCCAGGCCTCTATCCATCTCCCTTTTTAAAATAAGGTGATAGTGAATCCATAGTAGAACCATGTTTGCATAGAACCCGTTAAATTGCTCTGTTTTCATTAAATGTTAAGTTAAAAGATGCTCTGTCTCTATTAAGGTGAATATTTGAAATTGGGGGAAGCATTTGACTATTCGATTTTCTATGTTTTATAGAAAAGTAAGACACAGGCTGGTATGAGAAAAATTAGGTAAAACTTTGAAAAGGTGTTATTCCTCTCCATTTGATTATTACCTTTTTACTCCCAGAGTAGATATGTTTTAAGCATGCTTATTTGAGGGAAAAGAAACATCAGGTGCACCTTTTACATTTGTAAAGCAACATGGAGAAAACAAAAACTAAAATTTTAGAATGGATTATGCCATCGTGGTCCTAAATACAGTACGTAATTTTTTTTTCTGGGTCTTTCAGAATCTTGATGAGAAAAAGTGCCCTGACATTAATCAAGGCCTGTGAGGTTTAAATTATTGCCCTCTTTTACTCTACCTCCATTGTACAAAAAACACTTTGCAACAAGCCTGGACAAGATTCAACAGCATAGTAGTTTTGTATTCAAGGTTATTTCCCCACAACACTTTAAGCATAAGAAATGTAGTGGCAATATAAAGTTTGTAGCCTTTCCAATAAAGGTTTATAAAACAGTTGTTCAGTGTAGTCTTTCTTTCAGCTTCTACCTAGAATTTTTGCTATAGCAAAGAATATTTTTGGAAGGGGGCAAAACTGTTGGGTCTGTTACTCTATGTGCTCTGCTGTGTAGTGTGCTTGTCTAAAGAGTACACATATATAGCGTCACAGATTTTTTGGAACAGCTTTATTGAGATACACTTTACATACCACAAAACTTACTGTATTTCAGTATTCTCCCATGTGTGTATTCATGTTTATATAACTATCACCAACAGTTCGAAAAATCCTCAATCCATTAGCGGGTCTCCATTCTGTTCTCTCCCTAAGGCTTTGTGCAGTTACTAATTACATTTCTAAATGTATATTTTGGGATTCATATAAGAGATATGTGACAGGATAGTGTCCAGGTCTAACCTTGTCTGTAACACAAGGACTCCATTTTTATTCCCAGAAAACCCTCTTCCTTAGATAAAGCATATATTTTACTTAGTTGCTGAGCAGTTGGTAGTTGAGTTTGTTTTTTCTGTTTGGAGGTCAGGTGAATAATCATGAATGACACTGATAAGGAACATGGGTGCATTTTGTGTGTGTGTTCTCCATTCAGAAGCATAATGAGGTGTGGAATTGGGTCATAGGGAAATTTGTAAATGGTGCAGCATTTATAGTGGGTGTAGCATTTTATAATCTTACCAGCAGAGTAAGGAAGGTTCTAGTTTCTTCCCATCTCTGCCAGTATGTTTGAATACTGCCATCCTAGGGGTTGTGAAGTTATTTTGATTTGCATTTCCCTGATGCCTAGTGAATGGTAAGTGTCTGTGTGTGAGTAAGTCACCATTTGTATATCTCCCTAATTATCCTTTTATGATTAGATACCATGTATTTGTTAGATGTGCATAGGCTGCTAAGAGGCCATTTTTGATTTTTCTTGTTTTTGATGATCCAGACACTTGGGAGGAATACTGGTCAAGTAATTGTGGGGGTATGTGTGGGGGGGGGTCTATTTTTTTTTTTTTTTTTTTTTTTTTGATACTGGGGATCAAACTCACAGCCTTGTGCATACCAGCCAGACACTTGACACCACTGAGCTAAATCTCCAGTCCTTGGTCAGGTAGGTATTTTGTGAATATCCACTGTAAAATTTGTCTTTCTGAAACTGGTAAAAAAGTTTTTGATAGTACTAGTTGCATGAATGGATCAGTATAATGTCACTTAAGTAGAACAGTTTACTACTCCATGTAGTAAACTTTGTAAAAGAACATTTTATTCAAGTGAATCAGCATAGTGTTCTTTCAGCAAATTGGAAACCTGACTCACCATCTGCCGTCCATTTACTTAATTGTTCAGGTCCTCCATTCAACTGATCCTTGACTTGCGGATTCACATCTTGATAAACCCATAATAAATTGAAAATACCATAAGGAAGAATGCTTTTAATATACCTAACATTCTTTCAGTGTGCTTCTAACACAGTAGCCAACTTTGGTCAAACACAAAGGCTGTTACTATACAGTAAAGTGTAAACATGTAATCCACATCCAGAAAATACCAGCAACAAAAATGTGGCAGACTCCTTCTTGCAATCCCAGCATTTGGGAGGCTGGAGGAGGAGGGCTGACAAGGTCAGCCTGGGCTATGCAGACTTACACTGCTACCAACAAAGCATGCGAGGTATCATCAATTCACCCTCATGGTTGCGCAGCTGACAGCTGTGGTTCACTATTGCTGTCCAGCAGCATGTGAAGATAATACAACACAGTGCTCGCCCAGAAAAAGATCAAAAGAAGTATGGTTTCTTCTGAATGCATTTAAATTTTACAGATTGGGTCCTTGTAAACCAGGGACCACCTGTATGTGCATAGCAGTTTCAGAATTTTTAATCCCATATCCACATGGAAACAACTTTATCAACTAGAGAGTGGGCTTGTGCTGTTCCTTGTTCCTTTCGTTTGTGGTTTCCAAATTACTTAAGTAGCAATTTTGTTGTTGGGGTCTGGGCCTTTGTAGGTTCTTACGTGCTGAAGAATGAATTGTTAAGCCGGGCATGGTGGCTCATGCCTGTAATCCCAGCACACTGGAGGCTGAGGCAGGAGGATCATGAGTTCGAGACCAGCCTGGGCTATAAAGTGAGCTGAAGGCAGCCTGAACTGTATAGAGACTGTCTCAAAGAGACAAAAAAAAAAAAAAAAAAGTGAGTTGGTAAAGACAAGTACAAATGGTAGTGAGGTTTTACATTAGTTATAGGTAGGAAAGGAAGTGTGCTCTGCAGAAGGTGGCAGCCAATTAAGGTAGGAAAAGCAGCAGCTCTGCAGGGTACAGAGTGGGCCACTGTGGAAGAGAGCAGTGGTCCTAGGTTAATGGCTACTGTCTTTTGTGTATCTGTTCCTATGTTAGATCAAGGGTGGCCTCATCAGAATCTGGTCTCGTACCACAACGGTTGAACATGCAGCAGGCACATTGCTTGGAAGCCGTCGACTGCACCAGAGAGCTCCCTGGTCGGAGGTGGAGGTTGAGTCTGGAGCACAGAGTCCAGAGTCCATGTTGGGCAGCAGAAGTCTGCTTGGAATGCTTTCCACTGGAAGCCTAAAGGATTGGAGGCAATGTTCAAAGGCAATGGTAGAGGGCTGCATTCCTCTGAGGATGGAAAGGGCAGACTCCTTCCTGCTGTCTCTTTTATTTTATCTAGGCTACAGGCCTATTGGCTGGTGCCACCCATACCTGGGGTGGCTCTTTCCTCTGTTGGTGGCCTACATGTTGGTCATCCAGATACCCAGAGCTTTACTGATTTAGGCGATTCTTAGAAAGAAAGCTAATTAGGAGGAGTTTACCTACTGAAAAAATGCAGTACTCCAGGTGAAACATCTGTGTAAAAGAGGGCCCCAAGTCAAGCCTTAAGCGCTAATCTTTTTTTTTTTTTTTTTTTTTTTGTCTTTTTCTTTTTTATCGGTACCAGGGATCAAACTCACGACTGCCTGCTTGCAAGGCAGGCGCTTATAGCCGCTGAGCTAAATCCCTAGCCCCATTAAGCACTAATCTTGATGTCACTGAGAACTGTTTGCCCTGCATGCAACTGATTCACTTGGATTGGAGTCACCTAGGTCCTAGCCTTGCCCAGGCATCTAAAGGATGGGTCTAGAGAGCTCATCGAAAGTGTTGAGCTATTCCCTGTGACGGTGCCCAAACCTATTGATTGCTGAGCTCTGACACCCCATCCTGTTCTTTCTAAGCCCACTGGTTTAGGAATAGATGTTTTTCAGCTGAATCCCTTAGGTTCTTGGTCTTTTCTTGGCATCTGTTATGCAGAACTGATTCCAGGACTGACAGTATTGGATCTGTACTGTATATCCCAGTAATCTAGAGGTGGCCACCATAATGGCCCTACTACAGGAATTTATGTTTGGATTGTTCAGCTTTCTGTTCTATAACAAAATACCTGAGATACGAAACAGTCCACTTCTGTTGGGATGAAACAGAGCAAAGCTGGTGCCCTCCTCCAGGGCCCGAGTGACCCCACAGGAATCCTCAGCACCTCCCTGGGGACCCAGCCTTTCCCACACAACCCTTAGGGACATGCAGGGTCCAGAGCACCTTACACAAAGGGCATCTCAATGGGGACAAAGGCAGACTGACTGAACACAACTCCAGGCAAGTGTTTCCACAGCACAGACTCCTGTCACTAGGTGTGGGATGCAACACTAACAACAGAAAGAGCTGCACATGGTACTGCGTTTAGTGAGGACGCATGCAGGTCCATCTGCACCCCGTGGTTAAGAGGTCACCTCTGTGGTGATGCAACAGAGAGAAGAAGACAAGGAAGTAGGGCTCAGGGCAGTTTGTGCAATTGAGACCTTACCTCAAAATAATGTTAAGGAGGGGCCTGGGATATAGTTCAGTGACAGAATGTCTTAGGTTCAATCCCCAGTACTGTAGGAAGGAAGGGAGGGAAGGTAAAGGAGAGGGAGGGAGAATGAGTATATTGAAGTTTTACTTTGGAAATGACAAACAGTAGCTAACCTTAACCATAAGGCTAAAGGGTCACAAGGTCTTTTGGAGAAGATTTGACCTCATGTAAATACCAAGCAGTATAAGGGATTCCTGTTCCTAACAGTGCTAACCCATTATGTGGACTTGTATCAAAACCAGAGGTTGGGGCTGGGGATTTAGCTCAGTGGCAAAAGCAATGCGCATGGTCATGAGTTCAATCCCTGGTATTGATAAAAAAAAAAAAAAAAAAAAAAAACCAAAACCAAAGGTCTACAGTACCAGACCTTAGGAGACAAGTTCAGTTCATGACACACTTTTCCTTGTTTTTTTGTTTTTTGAGACAAGGCCGCACTATGTAATTTAGGCTGGCCTTAAACTCACTATGTAGTCCAGGCTGGCTTTAAACTCATGGTGATCCTCCTGTCTCAGCCTCCCGAGTGTTGAAATTACAGGTATGTGCCACCATGCCCAGCCCAGGACATACTTTTTATAGTAATACTATAAGTAGATCAATAACCTTTGTATTTCCAAAGCACAGACAAGAAAATGACCTCTGCACTCTGGTTAACAGAATATGTTCACAAGTGTTGAAAATGTTGGAAATTATCCTGTGCCTCTAAACTTTATTTGCATAATTCATCTGGCATGCCAAGGTCATATTTTTTCAATTTCAGCTTTATCAAACATACTCAAGGAATGTGCTCAGCAAATGTATCTGCTTGCTAGGAATTATGATGTCACACTTAAAACGTACACTTGTTCTATTACCCCATGACTGGGTGTCACTAACGCCACTTCACAGACAGTAGCAGTGACCCACAGCTCTTCTAAGTACCACAGTCAAGGTTCTCATGCAGCCCATTCCTCTCCAGACACTGTCTTAGCCGAATGCCTTGGACACCCAAAGAGTTTGTGGGAAATGCCCACTCCTCTGGAGGCTCCATAGCAACCCTAAATAAAAGTGGAGGAAAAATATCTATTTCCCTAAGAATATTCTTCATGCAGGACTGTTTTAATCGATAACAGCCCGCACCTAAATGTTTATGTTTTTGTGAATGTGCCAGTAGCTAAATGACTGTTGTCCATACAATTGATGAACCAGCTCATAGCAGTATTCATCAGGCCTTTCTCCTAATGTGTTCAAACATCCCAGGTGAAGATTAGTATCAACAACTAACACACACAATCAGGAAAACAGTAGGAATATATTTTCAGAATTTGATGAACTTGTTGCTTGGTAAACTCTGGTTAGAGGATTATAACAGATTTCACATTTTTCCCCTTGACTTTTGTTTTTTAGCTTTTCCACGAGTATACTTAATCTGAATTTTTTTTCAGAGTTTAACACTTTAATGTACCCTTTTATGCTCTCTCTTTTTTTTTTTTTTTTTTTTTGAGACAGGATCTGCTGTGTAGTGCAGCCTAGCCTTGAGCTCACTATATAGCCCAGGCTAGTCTCGAATTTGCAGTGATCTTCTTGCCTCAGTCTCCCAAGTGGCAGGATTAGAAACATGTGCCACTACACCTGGCCACTCTGATCTTGTTCTAATCATCACTAGTGTCCTGGATCCATTCCCCTTTTTTTAAGAGGTGGCTGATATTTTTATTGGGCTATGTATGAATCCCCACCCAACCCCCTAGAGGACTGAGCCTGGGGCCTTATACATAGAGGCAAGGACTCTACCACGGGATCCGTTTCCAAAGTTTAAATTTTAGTACTGTGTCTTCAAATAGACTTCAAAGGATGCTCTAATAGTCACATTGGAGAAAAGGCAGATGAATTTGGGGAAACAAAAAAGCAGGCATTCTGAGGTGCAGTGCACTGGACTGTCTGGTGGCCCTGCCAACTTGGTCTCCTTGAAGACAAACCTAGCTTCCTACACCCAAGGAAGCTCCTGACTCACGCTGGGTCCTTATGGAACCTCTGCCAAGAACATTCTAACTGTAGCTGCAGCACATACTAGGCTGAGAATAATCTAGAATAACAAAGGTCTTTTCCCTAACAGATTTACTGTACAACGAAGGACACCGAGCTTCCCTCCCAGACAAGGTCCATGCTCCTAGTGCAGGACACAGAGAACACCTGCAGTCCCCTCTGCTACCAACCAGCAAGGGCCCTGAGTACCACCCCATTCTGTTCTTCTCTAACAGGCTCCTGGCAAAGGGGATTCCTTGGTGCAGCTCCACCTCCAAATGTTTTTTTTTTTTTTTTTGGTTCCGGCAATCAAAGTCACAACTTTGTGCTTGCCAGGAGGCGCTGTGGCGAGCTCCATCATCAGCCCTCTGTCCCCCTTTCTGCGGGGAGCAGCTCCTCCTTTAAGAGGACTGATAGGTTCCAAGTTTCCTACCTCTTCGTCTACACAAGAGGTGCTCCTGTGTGAGGAGCACAGCAGGGGACCCTCAGGTGCATGAGGGAATCCATTCCGAGCTGTGTGAACCCCACAGGCCAAGCCATCTTCCCTCCCAGACAGACATTCCTGCATGCCTGAGCTACCTGAGTGGTTTCCTAACAGTTTTTAAATAAGACAGTACTCATTTCTTCTTTGTGTATTTTTCAAATTTTCCATAATAAAAACAAAAAATTTAATTTTGGTGGAAAAAAATGAAAACCTCCAGCCTGTGAACACAGGTTTATTTTGCTTCTGCCAGAAAGCCAGTTTGCATTCACTTTTACATCCTATTCCAGAGAACCTATGAAGTCTGCAACAACAGGAACCCCCAGCACCCCAGCCACACAGGGGTCAAAGCCTGGGCCACATGAGCCGAGGAGCGGTGACTGTCACCGCTGAGAAAGCCTGTGACTGCTGGGAACACACTGCCGAGGGATGGCGCCAAGTCAGGCCACTCCACTTCCAGAGAAAACTTGGAAAATCAAACACAGTTATCATTTGGGACACAGATTTTATTGTTCAGAAGTTTCCAGCAGAGCTCCCCTCACCCAGTACCTCTGTAAAGCAGATGCCTGTGAAAACAGACTGGGAAACAGCCGGGGGTGGCTTTTCCCCAGCACTTCACACCTCACAGCAGCTGGCCAGCAGGTGTGTGAGGAAACCCCCAGGCCTGGCAAGGCACAGGTGCCCTGAAATCCACAGGCGGAGAAGGGGCAACAACAGAAAGTGCACAGGTGTGGCCTCAACATGAGACAGCCAAGCCAGCTTTCTGGGGCAATGATGGGAGAGGAGACGCATCAGAACGGCATCTGCAGGAAATCCAATCTGTCTTGCATGGCGTTTCGACCTTAGAGTAATTTCCCAAACTAGCTGACCTTACATTATTAGTTTATTTTAAAAGCAAACGAAGTGTATACAGCATCTCCTAAAAAATCATGTAAATGGTGCAAAGTTTTTATGGGTTATTTATAATCTGAAGAGGCTTATAAAAATTATTGGACTTGTTAAGACTATAAATACTAACTTCCTTCCCTTATGAAAAAGCAATTGTTACAAAAATACAAAAAATATAATAGCTTGTACTATTTAACCTTCCCACCAGTAATCTTAGGACTCTGGGATACATCTTGGTTTATATACCATACAGTAAGCACAAGCACAACTTTGTCAGTTTTTTCAGGAAGGAAAAGTTCCAACGCATTCCCTTCTGTTATGTGAAACTGTGGGTGCTTCCCTCACAGGTACAGTAATGCCAGTACAGACTGCTCAAAGCTTGAGCACATTTCCCTGTGTGGAAATCAGCACAGGAACCTGCTTTCCAACCTCCCCCTTAGCGCCTCCACATTACCCTCTCTGGCTCCTTCAGGTCATGCTGGGAGCCACCGGGTCCCCACTTCTGTGCTGGTCACAACTCCCCCGGCTTCCCACTGGTGAGTGTGGATGACAGGGGCCAGGCTACCAAAGGGGCTGAGAGTACTGGCGGCTTGCTAATGCAGGGATGCTAGACTCCAGGCTGAGATGCCTGTGGCTGCTTAGAGAAGTGGAGGGGAGGCAGGCGTAAACATGAAGGGAAATGCTTTGCATGAAGTCAGAACACTTCGTTAAATGCAATCTTACTGCATTTGCTCCTGCACTGTCTCCCAGGAGCTCCTATCGTTTACAGGTTAGAAAATGGACCAGTTTGAAACACTGCAAGAAACTGCAGGGCGGGGCTGTTGGTTGGGCTCCATAAGGACCTGCACCACTGGGGGGGGGGGGTGCCAGCAGGGGGACAATGTGTGTAATGGCTCAAACCTTCTAGAGAAAACACTGCCACTGGGTCACCAGAGGATGACTGGTAGGCCTCCACATGGCTGGGCTGTAACCTGGGCCCCTGAAGCCCTCAGTGCACAGGGCCCTCAGGATCTGCCGTGCTGACAAAAGAGGAGACTGAGCTCGCCCGCAGCCTGGCTCATACTCACTCCTCCCCGTGGGACCTATGACCTCAGCTGTGACCCCACAGCCATCAGAACCTTGCCCAGCATCCTGTGCTGCCTGGGCATCTTGCCCTTGTCTGAGACAGGCTGCCCCTCTCCAGGCCACAAGGATGGACATTCCCTGAGGCCCTGCTGTTCAAAGGACTAGATTTCCACACCACTAAGGGTTTTATTTCATAGATTGTGTTGGTAAATTGTTTCCAGTCCTCATTGTGGTTAAATCATGTTTCCCAACACCTGCTTGCTTCTCCAGGCCTCAAACACCTCATCCAACACAGTCTGGGTGTTGAAAGCCCAAAGGGAACTTTTCAAAAGCAGCAACAGTGGATGATAGAGGCCTCTGGCCACATTCACTGAGAATCCCTCTACTTTGGTTGCATCGCCAAACCAGGGGCTGTGACACACTGTGAATTCACATTTGCTGCCAACAACATCAAGGCACAAAGAAAGGAGTCTCTGGTGCAGGATGACATGAGCATGACCAGCGACCTTGGGGGCCTGAGCCAGAGTCAGTGGGGAGACGGGCAGGGTCAGGAGAGAGCCAAGGGCCATTCTCAGGCGTATTTCTCCAGGAACTTGATGTGAAAGTCCTTCACCTTCTGGAGCACTGTCTTCAGCTTCTCCACTGGAGGGAGGATGGTCATTCTGTCCAGAAAGAGAGCTGCATCAGCCTGGCCACGCAGGGAAAGGGGGAGAATGAGCCCTGCCACTCACCTCACTCTGCTCGGAACGGAGACAACCTGAGGAGCACAGGCTGGGCCTGGCCCTGCAGCAGCTCAGTGCATGACAGTGACTGGCATCAGATAAACTACTTTCACCCACATTCACATGTTCACTCACTCAAGACAGGGTTTTGCTGTTGCCTGGGCTGGCCACGAACCCCTGGGCTCTGTGATCCTCCTGCCTCAGCCTCCCAAGTAACCAGGACTACAGATATGCACCCCTGGTAATAGGTATAAACCAAAGGCAGGACAGCATTCAGGCTCACTTGCAGGCAGCCACTGATTACCAAAGAAGGCTACAAAGATTTTACTCCTGCCGGATGGGAGTTTGGTTTTTGATTTTTGTTCTCCAGCAGTTGGTCTCTGACAGTGAGATAGCTTCCATTAATTAATAAAGCTTTCCTTCCAAAGACTTTTATTCCTGCATTGGCATGGTCAGCCAACCTCTCCCTACAGCCCCCGTGGCCAGCCTGCTGCCCTTGAGACAGCTCTCCTTGAGGATACCACTGCTTCTGTGGTGCTGGAAGGGAACACAGGGCCCGCCTGGAACGTGCTCGATGCCGACTCCCACTCGTAGCACTGAGTCTCAGTGGACTGTGGGTCCAGAGTTGAGCCTGGCTGAGGTGAGCAGATGTACTATGTGCCCTGGGGGATCCAGCCACAACCTATGCAAAGACATGAGAACTCCACACATGGGGAGGACACTGTTCAGCACACGTTGGACCTCTGTGGGGCCCTGGTTGAGCCATGCATCCCCAAGGGCTGGCCAGGGTGCACCTGGGAAACGGCTCTTAGAAGGAGGAACCAGGCCACAGGGCTTGGTGTGACTATCTAGCACCTGCTGTGCACATGGAGTTTAAAGGGAACGGAAAGTAAATGAACACACTCCTGGGGACACTTCCCTGTGACATGGGAGACAAAGGCAGTGGAGGGATAGCCTAGGGAGACTCTTAGAGACAGGCCTGGCACCCACTTGGCTTTCCTAACTCGCAGGACAGAGCTGAGTGCGTCTCTTCGGTGGAGCTAGCTCCTCTCCTCAGTCCTGCAGCTGGCCTGTGCCCCGGTGAGGGTGTGCAGAGGGTGTCCTACCTGAAGTGGTAGGTGCCTTCCCGCTGCCCAAAGCCACTGCCGGGCACCACACAGATGCCAGTTTCCTCCAGGAGTTTCATGCAGTAAAACATGTCCGGAGCCATTTTATGGGCCTGTGGAAGCAGGGCAGGATTTAAGATTTATTCCCAGTGTGGTGAGCTACAAACACATCCCCAGAACTCAGCGCCAGACATAACTGGGAAGGAAGGTTATTGTTCCTGTAGCAGCCCCTCCGCTGCCGATGACCAAGGGAGCACAGCGCCATCCAGGGCTGGTGGTGCTGCTGCTGCTCCTCACTGGGCAGCACCCGCCCGTTGCTGTGTCTCGTTCCCAACAACTGCGTGATGAGCACGAACAGTGGCTCCGCAGAGCTGAGCTACTTGGCGTTCTGGAAACAAGGCCTGGGTCTGCACTCAGTGAGCTTTCAGGGACAGTGTCCCTGGGGCCACTGCTGCTCACACTGTTTTTGCACAATAGTTACCAGGAAGCCTGTCATACGCATGCACTCAGGCCACAAAGCAGGGTACCAATTCCATGTGTCTGGGACATGATAGGATATTCAGTAGGTTCTGGGTGGGTGGAGACACCACTTTCAGAGATGCTGCTCTGCCCTCCTTCCCCCCAGTGAGGTCTGCAGCACCACCCAAGAATCTGGAAATGCAGTCTTGAGCCTCTCGTACTTTCACTGATCCCCAAATGGCATATTAGCAAGACCCCAAGTGACTGGTATATGTGGCCATGCCTGAGAAGTGGTGGGGAGGTGACATCTGTGCCACTTGCCCAGCATCACATGGATCACCCCTCTGGGGTAGCGGTATTGGCCTCTTGTGTGCGCCACTGCGGGCATACTGCTGTTCCTGGGCCTCCGAGGGCCTGTCACCCTTCGTTCACGGTAAGCAGCATCTGGCTACGAGGGCCGCAGAACTCAAAGCCCAAGGGCCAGCACCTCTGCTTCTGACAGCCAGAGTCAGCCCCTGACCCAGCTGTCTCAGGGAGCCCTGGGAGCAGAACCCAGCCCCATGGACCCAGACCTGAGCTGCTTCCACAGCCTTGGTGGGAATGAAGATCCGAGGAAAGGCGTACATGGCACCCTGCAGGGGGTTGCAGTGAATTCCTGGCACTTCGTTAAACAGGTCTTCTGTAAGCTTCGCTTTTGTGGCCAGGTTACCTAGGACAGACTCCTTCTCCTGAGGAAGACAGAAGGAGCAGGAGTAAGGTCTGCCCCCCCGCCCCGTCACGGAGACCAGTGAACCTGCAGCCCTGGAGGCTGCTGTGCACACGGCCCCGACCCACACGGGTGGCCTCCGTCATGGACTCTGCACTCGTACCAGGTACTCATTCACCAAACTAAACCAGACCAAACACTCTTTGCGCATCAATATCAATGGACCTGGCCCTGAGCAAAACATCCCAGAAGCACTTTAAGGAGCCATGGGCCTCATTTAGGGGGCGCTGCCACACCGTCAGCTCATGTGTATGCATGGGACTCAGGGCTCAGGCAAAGTAGTGACAGTCCCTGCTGCTCAGAGCTGGGGGTGGGGCAGGGCCGCCCAGGGCTTCAGCAAGTGCTGTCAGAAAGTGGTGAGGGTGCACAACACCTTCCTTCCTTCCTCTGCCCTCTGCATGATGAGCCTGGAGGAAACCGCTGAGCGAAGCAAGCCACTCACAAAGGGCAAACACTGTCACCCCCACTGGTATGTGATACCTAAAGCAGATGAATTCAGAATCAGAACTTAGGGGCTGTGGGAGGTGGGGTAGCGAGTTAGCATTTGATAGGATGAGTTTCAGTCTGACAGAACAATTCTTGATGGATGGTGGAAACAGTGGCACAACAATGGGAATGTACCTACTGCCAAGGGTAGCCCAAGTCCACCCTTGGACTTAGAAATGGTGAATTTTTGTTATGTGTGTTTTACTACAATTTAAAAGAAAAAAGATGATCCTGGACCAGTGTGGAGCTGACTTCTAGGGTACATGACCCATAGTTCTTTCTTTTGAGATGGTTTTACAACATTGCCTAGATTGGTCCTGAGCTTCTTGACTCAAGTGGTCCTCCAGCCTCAGCCTCTTGTATAGCCGCAGCTGCAGGAGCACGCTGCCATACCCAGCTCCCTAAGGTCCTTTTTCGTTTATAACTATGAAGTTTGTAACTTCTTTTTTTAAGTGGTACCAAGAATCAAATTCATGACCATGTGCTTGCAAGGCAGGCGCTTATGCTGCTGAGCTAAATCCCATCCCCCCCTTTTCGTTTAACCTTGGCAGTGCTGGGTTTCTGTCACACAACTGACAGGGTCTTGAGTGGATCACACTGAGCCAGGAAGATGCCTGGTTGGGCCAGAGGGACAACCCATGCTGTGGCCCACTTTCCTCCCTTCCTCTGTCGGGGTCTTCCCACGTGTAACACATGGATGAGGAAGAAGGGTCCAGTTGCCTTCATGCAGTCACAATCCTCCCATTCTCAAACACATCCTGCCACATCCTCTGGCTTTGCCAACTAGCAAGGGTGGTTTAGGCACTGAGAGGACCCCGAGTGCCCCCAAAGGACAGACAGACATATGGATCACCCCACCACAGGCCTCCTGCTCATGTGAGTATGTGGCCAGCTGGAGACAGGGCCACCACTAACCACAACAGGAATTCACCTATGACTTGACAGCTGTGGTGATGCAGATGGCTCACAGCAGACTCACCCTGTGGAACTGCTCGAAGGACTCCTCCCCTGGGGCCGGGGGGTTCACGACGATGTCCATGGCGGCCTGTCCAGACACGGGTGGGCACAGCCTCACCGAGAGCAGCTTTACCAGCTGGCCCTTGATCTCAGGGTGCAGGTTGATCACCTCCATGTAGCCTCCGCGGTAGCCACACCTGGAGGTTGGAGATGCAGCACAGCCACCGATCACACCAAGGTTACCAACTACAGTCTGGACACCAGACTCTATCACCATCCCGCCCCAACACCAAAAGCCCCTGCTGCTGCATAGTGACCAGAAGTGATATGTACCAGCCTACTTCCATACACGGAGAAGGTGCATCCCCCTGCTCTGCCCTTACTTCCTGAGACCAGAACTGAAGATGGTGTCACATGCTGAGAAGCTGGAGCACCAGCAGGCACTCTGTCCTTAACTGACCCTACCTTGGACTTCCTCCTAGGCACAAGTTCCAGAAATGGGCACATGATTCATTGGTGCTAATGAGCACCTTTTTCTACAATAAGTTTTGCTACATGAAAACAAAGCAAATCCAAAATCAGAAAACAGGACAAAGCAAGAAAACTGAGACAGTCCCACTAACATCTGAAACCATGGTCTTGTGTATGCTAAGTACACACTGTACTCCTGAACCACATATCTCCAGTCTTGCTGAAAACATCTTTAAGCACTTTGATTAAAGTCTACGCTTGGATTTGGGAAAAAAAAAATGCTTCCTTGGTGTAAGTCAGTTCAAACTGACTTCTGTAATCTATAGCCAAACATCCGGACTGATGGAGTCAAAGCACATGAAATAAACTGACATAAAATGAGTGTAAAAAATCTTTCTTGCCAGGAATTTAGCTCAGCGGCATAAGTGCCTGCCTGGCAAGCACAAGGTCATGAGTTCGATCCTCAGTACCATAAAAAAAAAAAAAAAAAAAAAAAAAAAAAATCTTTCTTAGCTAAATCAGCAGTATCAGTCATACTTTCTTACTCTGTCTCCTTCTCTGGTCCAGTCTAGCCAGTGTTTGGACTGAAGACCACAGAAATGCAGGCAACCTGGGCCCGGGACGTGCTTACCGTCTTCCAGCACCCCGCCCTTCCTGCCCGCATCTGATGCGATGAGATGTGCAGGATCCCATAGCTGAACCAAACTGGCAAAGACATTGTTACAGGCAACTGAACACCAGCTGAACTCAGCCAGGTGGGCCACTACACATAGAGCACTGTGTATAGTGGCCCACCTGAAGATAGCTGCCAGCATAAAAAAGACACGTGGAGAGGAACAGTGTAGAGTTAGAGGTTCTCTTGTGCTGTTGTTTACAGCTGTGGATTCTCCTGCAGGAGCTTGTCATGCTGGCTTCCCTGATGGGAACTTGCCCATTCTCACTGGAGGAGCTCAGGACTTTGTCACTGAGAATGGGTGCAGTTCACTTTGGGGGAGCCCTAGTCCTTATGCTGAGTGTTGCTTCCTTGGCTTCAGAGGGGAAGATGTGTGCTATTTAATCTCCATGTTTGTCACGCTGGCTTCCTGACATGTACTCAACTGTTCTCATCATTGGAGGAGTTTGGGACCTCACTGTTGCTCAGGATAGCTGTGGGAGTCCTGGTCCTATTTTGAGCGTTGCTTCCTGGCTCCACTGCAGAATCCTCAACCCTGCTGGCTCAGATCCTTCATCTCGTGGCATAGACTTTCCAGCTTCTACCACTGACCTTTTGGCCTTCCCAGTGCAGATTCATAAAACAGACTTGCATGAGTCCTTGTCATGGGGCTCTGGGCCTCCAGCTGGACTCGTGGGAAAGATTTCCTGTACTTTCTTGTATTTAATTCTGGGTGACTATCATAAAAAATGTTATAAATTCTGTGTCCTGTATGTAACTGTCTTGCAACCCCTGATTACAAGACACATCCTGATCTGATCCTCGGTCTGGACTTTCCAAGGCAGAAAGATACTCTGGCATCTCAGGAGAATTTCCCACAAGTGTTGAGAGTAAGAACGTTCTATCACAGTAATGGCAAACCTTTTAGAGACAACTACCCAACATAAAACCCACTTATTTATCACTATGGGTTCACCACCATGATATTTAATTCTCTGTGATGAGCAGAAATCAAACTGCACAAAGCCTCTAATCCTAGGTAACTAGGATCTGTGAACAACAGGGCACAGTTCAGATCACCAGCAGCCAGCAGACTGTCTGCTTAAAAGTAATCAATAACAAGTGGGGGAGAGATAGACAGGTATGTGATAAACATACCTGCAGCTGAAAAATGGACAGAGAACAGATTCACTTAGAAAAAGATCTACACAGTACCTGAAAGTCTGGCACAGAGGCAGCATTGCTACCCAGTTAGACCAAAAAGATAAATTAACCCCAGCCCACATCAGACAAAGCCAATAACACTTTCCCGAGCAGGACAAAGGAAGCCCCCTTAACCTGGCTAAGACCTTCCAGCCTTCAGCTTCACAGTTCCAGTGGCCTCCAGCCAGTCAAATGAGAAGCCATCCTATGCTGATGCCTAGCAGCCACAGCCACCTAGAGCAGCAAACTGACAACCTCTCCCTCTTGGTGTCCCCTGAAGTTTCTTCTCTCTTCTCATCCAGAGCCATGGTGTCAGGCACACCCAGCCCTCAGACCTCTTTTCTACTCTCACCTGTGAGATGTGCAGGCTAAGAACACATAAGCCAACACATCAGCCCTAACGTCCATCTCTATCTGGAAAGCAGTTAGGGAGGTAGAAGCTGACGTATACTCACTCGCCCATGTAGCCCTTGGAGGTGGAGTGGAAGGAGGCGAGTTCCACATTGCTGGAGTACTCGGGTCCCATTTCATAAAGCACCTTTTTAAAGGAGTGGAACCTGCAGTCTGGAGAGTACACGTTGTCCTGGTACACCTGCAGAGGAGGGTGGACAGAGAGTCACTGTGAGCCCCTCTGAAAGTTAGGGGCCCACGTAGGTGCTGCTGAGAGTGGCTGAGGAGCAGAGCTGGAAGAGATGTGGCACAGGCGCTCAGGGTCCACCTGCAGCAGGTTAGGTCTGAGGTCCGGCCTCCTGTCCACCGCGAGGGAAGGCCTGGAATATGCTTGCCAGAGCCTCCATGAGGAGGGGAGGTCAGGCTGGAGGCTCAATTCACTTGATTTCTCCCATATGCATCCCCACCCAGTCTACAGGTCTCTTATTTTTTTTTTTTTTTAATTTTTAAAAACATTTTTGAGACAGGGTCTTACTAGGTAGTTTAGGCTGGCCTTGAACTCACTATGTAGCCCAGGTTGGCCTTGAATTTATGGTGATCCTCCTGTCTCAACCTCCTGAGTGTTGGGATTACAGGTATGAACCACCATGCCCAGCCTCCAAATTTCCAGTGCTGATACCAAGGGTTCTCATCTTCCCCCCAAATATTTCTCCTAAAACATGTTTACTCCCTTTAATAACATTACTATCAACAGCAGTTAGTGCACCTGCCCTCTGACCTCCCTATTTGAGAAGTTAACCCCATTGCATTTCCTTATTAACACTTACCTGGTTTGGGATTGCTTTTTGCTTTCCTTTCAGTGCCAGAGTGACCCTCATACCCATTTTGTTCTTCTGTCCTTAGATCTATCATTCACAGCCCCAAGCACCCTATTCTGCCCTTTACGTGTAACTTCTCACACCCATTTGGAAGATCAGGGTGGCTTCGTGGGCCCCAAGGGTAAGGCAGGCTCCACCTGCAAAAGGCCAGGTGCTATCCTACTCCTCTTTCTCCCAGACCCAGGGATCAGGGTAATTAGGCACAAGTCACAAGGAGACGTATGGGTCTCTGTTGCTGCTTCCTTTAGAAAAGAAGCTTTCAGGTCTATACATATTAATTATGAAACAAAATGGGTAACCTTTGTGTATGTGTGGTGGTGGTTAAGGGATGCTATAGAGCAAAGAAATAAAAGTACAAGCAATGTTAGAAGCTGTGACTAATCAGAAATCATGCAGAAACGAGGATGGACTGGAAGTGGGGTTTTATGGTTTCTCAATTTTTCTTGCAAAGCAGAAAATGAAAAAGCAGGTCTCAACTTCAGAAGTGGGGCTCAAAAGGCACCAGATATGGGGTTAAGAACCCTGTCTCATGAGAGAATTCAATGATGCAGGAAATACGAGTGTACACAAGGCTCAGAACTGCAGCTCTGTGCCTTTTCCGCCACACTGGCACCCAGGCTCCCTTCCTAGCTTGAGTCCCTCAATCTGCCCTCAGGAAATGGCCCTTCCACTTGTCCTCCTGCAGATCTGGGGGAAAACAGGCAGAAAGCCTATACCCTATTTGCATATTGTAACTTGTAGGCCATAGCAACAGGGTGTGACTCAAGCTGAACCAATGAGGTATAACGTGAGACTTCTGATAGACAACTAGGGTGAAGAAAACTCTTTCTGGGCTGAGAACACAACTTTCCTAAGTATGAGGACAACACTAAGAGACAGAAAAGGGAAAGAGAGTTTGGAATATGGCTTGAGTCACATGATATGGTTGCCTTTCTTTCACTTTTTTTTCTGTAAGTTTAAAATTGTTTGAGTTAAATTTCTAAACTTTATCAGTCCAAACCAATACAGGAACAATTAGGTTAGAGTCACAGGTGGTACAATAATCATGCTCATCCTTGGACAGAATCATTCCTCCGAAACCTAGAAGACTGACCGACCTCTCTGGCTGCAGAGCAATCAGTCCTGGAGCTCTCCCCTAAAAAGCAAAGCTCACCTCTGCACCTCTCTGGGGGGCTGGGACTGCTCTTACCTCATCGGCCAGGAGAAAGAGCTTCTCTTCCCAGGCAAAGTGAATCACATCTTCTATGCACTTTCTGCTCTGTACCTGGCCTATAAAATCCCCAAGAAAACCAAAATGTAGGTTGTAATGTTTAAACTGTTCCCAGGTCAGAATCCCACCCAGAATCACTGGGGTATCCTGTGTTCCCTTAAGGTCCCAAGAGACACTACCAGTTGCAATGCATGACAGTGTAGTCAACCTTCAGGGACGTCTGGAGGGTCAGTCCCCTCTCACTGACTCACCAAAGCCAGGGATGTGAGGTACTAGTGTTTCCTACTCAACTTGCCTGTTATCTTTGAGTGAATGGTATGTGTGTGTGGGATCTGTCTGTTCTGGAGGGCAGGAAGGCAAGGAAGTGTCATGAGGAAGAGGAAAATGAAACTTAAGGAGTTGAATCTATCAGCTCACCCTGTCTCTACCTCACTGTGTACCAGCAGTGACCAATGGGGAGAAGTTCATGGCTGTTAAGGAGTTGAATCTATCAGCTCACCCTGTCTCTACCTCACTGTGTACCAGCAGTGACCAATGGGGAGAAGTTCATGGCTGCTACGGTAATTCGATGAGAGTTACTAGAGCAAAACTGGGGGTTTTCAATGTGTAGGAATACCTTCTCCTCAGAGAGGAACATGCAAACCCCAAGAGGCAGGGACATGGTCTATCCTTGCTCACCATCTAGGCTCAAAGTTGGCACTCAGCAGGTGTTCAGTAAATATCTGCAGAACAACACTACATGGGAGGTCCTGGGCAACAGTGTGGTGTCTCCTGCCAGTTACTCCTAGAGAACAAGGCATTGCTAAAGACCACTGTGATAAGCACCTTGCAGGCTTCCTTAGTGTGGCTGCCCTCCTTCAGGACTTTGCACTAACAGAGAAAACATCCACCACCCATTTTAGAGAAATGAGGGCAAAGAGCAAGGTGTAATCTAGCAGCTCACAGGAAATGTCCCAAGACAGATCGGGAAAGGAATAAAGGTTATAAGGTGGCCGATGGGACCTTTCCCCAATATTTTCTGAGACGTACTTTGAGTGCGGCATCAGGAATTTGTGATACTTCACAATGTCCTCTGCAAAACCACCAGTATCATGGGGCTTGATGATTTCTTTAAAAAAGTGATATTTCATTACTCTATGCACATGAGTGCCTATGTGTGTTGTGGAAATCTGAGTTTATGTACACATGTGCATATCTGTATCTTACATAAAGCAGTACACACAACATTACGTTTTTGTCCAAAAAAAAAAAAAAAAAAAAAAAGATGCACTTGTTTATGTAAAAAAATGTCTGGAAAAAAATATCTATGTATCATGTAAAAGCATGGTATGGCTCAGCCAGGATTTCTGTCTTGAATTATATAAGTAATAAACCAATTTCTTTTTCTTTTTCTGTCTTTTTTGTTGCAGTACTAGTGATTGAACCCAGGGCCTCTGCACTGAACTATATCTGTAGCTCTTTTTAGTTTTCATTTTCAGTCAGGGTTTTACAGTTTCCTAGACAGGACTCAAACTAGCAATCCTTTTGCCTCAGTTTTCCAGAGTGTGCATTACAGGCACGTGCCACTGTGTCCAGTTTAACCCAGTTTCTTTATTAAGCACCTGACTTTTCTCTCACCCACTAGGCTTCCTATGAAGCAACTCAGGGCAATGGGATCCAAGAGGGTAGCAGGCCCCAGTTTCCAAAAGGAGCTAGCACTGTTCTCACAGATAGACAGGAGCTGGCCATCTCAAGTGCAGAATCTGCCTGCAAGGCCCCCTGGTCTTGCCCTCTCATACCGTTGTCTCACCGCTGTGTCCTGTCAGAATACAAGCAAGGGCATGAACACTAGAATGTGCACCACACGTTCACTAAATGCTACGGCAAATATGAAGAGAAGCCAAGGAAGGACCAGAGCCTCAAAAAGCCTTCAGCTTGGTAGAGGAAATGAGCTAATAATGGATGCAAATAATTTTACTGGTGTACATAACAAAAACTGGAGGACAAGGAAACACCTTATACCTCTCCAGTGCCTGGGGAACAGCAATCTCTTAGCTGAGCTACTGAAAGGAAAAACACATTAACAGTGGTAGAGGACGAGGGAAAGTCACATACAGGTTGAAAGGGGCCAGGAGACAGGAGACTTGGGTTTGATATAGATCCTCAAACGTGGGAGAGGGCTTCTGAGTACCAATCAGTCTGAATTCCTAGTGAGCTATGAGGGGAGTATGTGTGGCTTGTGTTGACAGAGCATCCTTTCTTTTTCTGAGTAACAGGTCACAACTGTGCTATGGAGAACTCTGGTACGGGGCACTGGCACAGACCTGACCATCAGTCCTCATTTGACGGGTTCAGGCACAGGCAGCTGATCCAATGCAGGCCAGCGAGTCTGGTCTGGGACTTTCAGTCAACCTATGGAAGAAACTACCCTCTAACGCTAAGCTGGTGGACAATGGCTAGAACCACCAAAGTTCTTTGACTGCGGCACTGGTTTAGGTGTACTGCTGACCCCTACCTGGACTTCACAGTGCAATGATCCAATCTCTTGAGCCTTGAGTTTGCTTTTTGTCTTGAAACCAAAAGAGCCCTGGCTTAATAGCCTCGTGTACTTTTGCCACCCTATTCATCAAACTGGTCAGAGTGTTGTCCAGACGAGAAACATGATCAACATGGCTGAGTTTTCAGGTTCCACTGCTCCTCCTCTAGCAGTTGACTGATTTTCATATGTTAAGACCCAAAGAGCAAAACCAGATTCTTCCCAATGACAGTTACTCTTTACACAAATTACCTACATTAATTCACATTCACATGACCTCCTTCCTTAGAATGGGAAAGTCTCTGGTGCAGTTATTTCTTCCCAGACAACTAGGTGAAAAGATTTATGCAAATACCTGGCCATGAAAGTGCTGACTCAAGTGGGTGAGGTATGCAACCTTCCTAACATGTTGCAGGACTAGCAAATGTGGTCCCGGGGCCAGCACCTGGGAGCTTTTTAGAAATGTAAATCCTCAAGCCTTATGCAGTCCAATCATATCAGAACAGTTATAAGTGGGACCCCAAATCTGCATGTTAACAAGCTGAAGTTTGAGAACTACTGTGGAAAGGACAGTTTTCATCAGCTGCACTGACAACTAATGCCTGGGCCTCATCCTCAGAGTCTGAGGTATGGCTTTGCCTTTCTGATTTTTTTTTTTTCAAAAGCTCCCTTTGTGCTTCTAATATACAGCAGGCCTAGGGACCCAGTTCTGTTGTCTTCCTGCTGCATCCTGGTTAAACTCTTTATCTCTTTTCCCCAAGGCACTGAGGTAAATAAACCAGCTTTACTGCCAGCTGCACCCATTTTCTGTGCTCAGGAATTCAAGTGGTGCTTTTAGCTGACTGAAGCATCATTTGATGTTCCCGAGAAGCAGATTCCACAATCAACTCCAATGCATTTTGGCCCGGGCACAATTTATCTCAACAAAGGCGAAGAGAGGAGCCCTTGTTTTCTACATCCAAATAGCATGGGCATAGGAAGCCAGCAGCCCAGAAAGATTAAATCAGGCAGAATTGTGCACTGTTTGAAAAGAAAAATATGTAAGACTGGGGGTGCTTTTCAATTTCTGGAAACAGGTTTTTTGTTTTCTGGTTTGCTTTGTTTTCAATATGGTATTCCTTCTCAGAACTCAAGGTACACACACAGCAATGTTAGATTTAAAAAAAAGGACATGTACCAGCATTCTGAGAACTGGTTCAGGAAAATAAGTGGGAGAGAAAATAAGGTCTAGGATAGTGGTGAGTCTGTGTGAATGATCTCATGGTGAACAGCCACATATGCAAGAATGGGAAAGGAAAACTGATCTTTCATAGAATCCTGTCAAGAAAATGCCTGCATTTTCCTGAGGCAAATCTTATTGGCTCTCTGTTGGCAAATCTGGAACTGGCATGGGAACCTGGGTGCAGAGTGTGTCTAAATGTCAAACCCACTTCCAAAGAAATGTGTATGGAAGGGCAATGCAGACCTGTGGGGTTCCCTGGGTTGATGATGCAGAGCACCTTGGGGTCACAGTGGTCTTTGGCCTCTTGTATGGCCCGCCGGAGTTCATTCACATTCAGGGCCCAGCAGTTCTCCTCGTCCAGGTAGTAATTCACCTGAATAGCGTCGAGCTCTGAGATGACTGCTGAGTAGAGGGGATACTGTGGGATGGGGATCATCACACCCGTCCGAGACTTGCCGCCCCCAGAGACGAGGATCTTCAGGATTGTCTGCAATCAAAGGTCACCGGTTAGAAGGTCTCTGCTACTCTCCACTCTTTAGGAGCTGAGAAGCAGCCAAGTCCACTGGCCCCACCTAGCCTTTCACCCTGACCCTGCTTCCAGTGTCACTCAAGCAAGTAGCCTCACTTCACAAGATGCCATGCTCTCACCTGTAGAACCACGGCCACTAGAAGGAATAAACAAAATGGAATGGCTTATAGGTCTTGGCACAGTGCACTGTACACTGCATGCACATAAAGACTCAATGCATAGGTTTTTTCTGTTGCACTAGGGGTTGAACTGGGGAATTCTGAGCTATAGTCCTAGCCCTTTAAAAAATTATATTGGGGTACTGGGGGTTGAACCCAAAGCCTCATAGCTGAACTACATTTGCAGCCTTATTTTTTTTTTCAAATTTTGACATAAAGTCTCACTGAATTGCCCATCCTAGCCTTGAACTTGATCCTCCTGCACCAGCCTCCTGAGTAGCTGGGATTAGAGGCTTGTGCCACCATGCCCAGTCTTGTTAGTTGTTTTAATTCTTTTTTTTCTTTTGTCTTTTTGAGACAGGGTCTCACTGTGCAGTTCAGGTGGGCCTTGAGCTCACTTTGTAGCCTAGGCTGGTCTCGAACTCGCAAGGATCCTCCTGCCTCAGCCTCTTGAGTGCTGGGATTACAGGTGTGAGCTACCACACCCGGCTAGTTGTTTTAATTCTTAAAACACATTTACCCCCAAACTAGTCCCATCTCAGAATGATAATGTTCCCACCTCAGAGACCCAGATTTAGAATCTGTCTTATCATAAGCATCAGTTGAGCCAGTTCTGATAACATCAGTTGCCAATGGCTAGGACCCTTGATGACAGCTGAAATAGGATGAATACCCATGCCCTGCCACCAGATGGCACTTCAACCTGCTTGCAAAGCTGAGCAGGGCGCATGTTCGTAGGATTCCTGAGAAACCAGGCAGTTGGAACCCTGCGGGGTGTTGGTGGAGGCAGCAGTGATTCACCAAGTTAATAAGCCAACCCCCTGCAGGGTGAGTCTCCACCTAATGCGGTGTAGGGTTCCTCTCAGGAGCTGTTCCTTGCTCTGAGTATGACTGAAGAGTGCAACGACTTGGTTCTTCTGCCAGTGCTAGGCCTCTCTGGGAACCAAGAAGGGCTTTGGCAGCAGAAAACAGTGGGGGATGCTGATGTTGGGATAGGAGTTGTAATATCAAAATCCCAAATGTTGTCAGAACTGGCTCAAAGCAGGCACCAGCTAATGTCTCTGGGCCTGTTTCTTTAAGGGCTCCAGTAACAATTTAATGATTTGAAATGCTTTGGGAAAGGAATAAAGCACTCAGCACACATCAAAAACAAGGGCCACTGGGGCTAGGAGATAAAAAACAGCAAACCGTTCCTGGCAAACTGTTCCTGGAAGGAGACCTTAAAAGGATGCAGGGACAGTATCTCCAGACATCATCAGGAGGGAGGCTCCAGGCTCCAGCCCCTTAACTACAAAAATGCTGCAAGGTCTCTAAGGGCAGGAGTTTAGAAACCTCCAGGTGAGTGATGGTAACACCAGCCCCTCCTCCACTGTGGATGACCTGAGCCCTTGGCTCCTCCTCCCTTGCTGAGGTCCTTGAGCTCCTCCAGACAGGCTGCAGAGCACTAGCAAAGTATGTGCCCCTCCTGCTTCACACCTCTGAGGCCCTGCAGTCACTTGCTTCTCTGGCCTTGTTTAGAACACTATGCTTGTCCCCTCACACCCTGATTCTCCCAACTCTGGGCCTCTGTACGTGGTGCCCTCTGGGTCAGACACTAGCCCTCACCCCTCTCTCCTGTCCTCCTGCCTACCTGATGCCACCTCACCAGCTCAGCGTCTCTGCTGCTCCCTCCTCCTTTGCCCTTTGCACTGTGAAAAGAAACTGAAAACTAGAGCTGTGACTTTTTTTAAGGGGTGCCAATGCTAGAGGTCAAATGATGAGCTTGGCTCCCCAGCACCAGGCACAGTGCCTGGCAGAGGGGCTTCCAGTATATGCTGAGTGACAGAGAGGTCATCAGGCACCCTGTTGTGCCCCAAGGCTCCTCTCCAGCTGGACCTGCTGGTGGGGACTCGGCAGGAAGACTGAGATTTCAGTAATGTCCAGGGCCTGGAAAACTAAAAGAGATGAAGACTGCATGCTACAGGACAGGACCAGAGCGGGACCCATCACCTCACTGGCCCCAACAGGTGAGGCTGTTCTTTAGGTGAGCTGGCACTGACTAGGAACGAACCCCTCTCACACATACAGAAATGCCATCGCTAGCTCCAGTGGTCAGGTAAATGTTGTCAGGGTCCGCAGGCACGCCACCATCTCTCCTGGTGATGTAGGCAGCCACATCTTCACGAATGCAGTTGACACCTTGGCTGGCACTGTATGACCCTGTAAGACAGCAGGCAAGACAGCAAGCAGAGCCAGTTTAATATCTGAATAATGAACAAGGGGAAGGTCATAGGTAGGACCCTACTCCTAGTGCTTTGGGCCCTGGAATTGTGGAAAGCTGTTTAACTGCTTATCGGGGCTCCATCCTCCTATCCCTATTTCCACGCACTCATCTACCTAATATTTACTGTGCATCTACTGTAGTCTAAGCACTATCCTAGACCCCAGCTTCTGACTAGTCAAGTACTGCCCATACCTATCCTACCAGCACTCCTGGGATGTGCATCTGGGATCCATATGCTTTTATTCAGTTGCCTACAAACAGCTGCTCAGAACTTGAAAGATTGGGGCAACATTAACCAGCACCAACTGTAGATCCCTGGTCCTGTTCTTCTGTGCCATGCCAAGAATATCCTTAGACTGCTGCTATTTAGGGTTAAAATTCAGGTTGCTGTTTTTTTTTTTTTTTTTTTTTTGTCTTTTTCTTTTTTATCGGTACCAGGGATCGAACTCACAACTGCCTGCTTTACAAGGCAGGTGCTTATGCCGCTGTGCTAAATCCCCAGCCCCTCAGGTTGCTGTTTATATGAAATTTAAAACCAGGCAAAACTATACTTGAAGGTAGTAAAAGAACAGTGGTAACACCTTGAGGGACAGAGGTACTGGCTGGACAGAAGTACCCAGGAGCCCTTTGAGGTGCTTAATCCGGGAAGGGGGTTCAAAGGTGTATGTCTATGTAAAAAATTACTCAATTACTCAGGCTGTATATTAGTATTGGCATATTTTACATACGCCTGTTATAGCTCCATGCTGTTTGGGATTGAACCCAGGGCCTCACACACTAGGCCAGGGTGGCGAACCTACGGCACGCATGCTGCAGCCTGCTGTTTCGAACACCGAAAGCTCTAAAGGGTTTGCCATCCCTGAGTAGGCCCTCTACCGCTGAACCGCATCCCCAGTACAACAGTTTTTTAAAGAGGCCAGCTCAATACGTTTTTAAGTGGAAACATTTAAGGTGGAAATAATGAATCTGCACATATATAAAAGCTCTCTGAAACCAGGCTCAACTACAGAGCTGAATTCTTTTAAGTGTACCAGGATGCCAGGGTCAGAGGTGGGAGGTACAGTCTTTGTTACACACACCCTTTTGAATTTCTTAAAGGAAAAGCAGCCCATTCTCTGTATGTCTGACTCCTGCAAAACCATCACTAGGATGCAGGCTGGGGCTCTGAAAGCAGCAGCTTCCACCTGGAGCCTCCACACATGCACTCCACACTTGGAGCCAGAGAAGTGGTGGAGCCAGAGGAGCGCTCCAGCGTGGAAAGTGCTAGTTCTGGCTCTGCCTCAGCCTCATTACGCAGCCTGGGCCGAGTCCTTCCCCCCGACCAGCTGTGAAACCAGGGGCTAGATGCCAAATCACAAACATAAACACGTGTCTCCTCTGGCTGGTGAGTACAGGGGCTTCTGTGACAGGACTTTGGGTACGTTTATAAATCTGAAGTATTCTGCTAGTGAAAAGGGGTAATTCAGATCTGGAGCTTACAGGGCTTCATCCTTCCCTTTGTCTTCTCGCTGCCCTTTCACTCCACGAGTCTGGCCACAACATGCCAGTCAGGTGCCTCCACCTTTCTGCTCCTCAGTCTGCCACTTTCTCAGTCCCCCAAGAAGCACTCTCTTCGGGTCTCCCACTCATTCAAGAAAGCTCCAGAGATTTTTTTTTTTTTTTGCCTTTAGATCTGTTGCTGCAAACCATACCACACTGGTCCTTTGAGGTTCATTTCTAGTCTGTCTGCAGGAGTTTCTCCCTAAAGATTCTGCACCATTCCTGGCCTTCCTCCTGGGCTGGAATTTCTCTAATTACTTAATGGAGAAGAAGCCCTGTCTTCGCACCTTGTCCATATGCTCTCTAGAGAAGAACTAGTATCTATCTTTTTAAAATACATCTCTCCTGGGCACCCCTAAGACCACTGGGCCGAACCCCATCATACACCTACCTAAGGCCCACTGCCCTGAATGACAGCCAAACTTGCTTCGCAAGCACAGCAACCCCACCTGCCTTGGTCACCAGTGTCCTTCTGTTTCTGAAACAGCATCTAATTCATGGTGTATGCTCAGGCAGGGGCTGGACAAGGGCACAGAGATCCTACCATCGTAGGCAGTATACTAGGTTTCTTTGAGACAGGGTTTTGCTATGGAGTGCAGGCTGCCCTTAAACTCACTTTCTAGCCTAGGCTGGCCTTGAACTCACATTGATCCGCCTGTGTCAGCCTCTTGGGTAGAATCACATGCATACACCACCAAACCCAGCTAATGAGCTATGTCTTGACCTCAATCCTATTTAAGATCCAGGATTCAGCCTAAGAACTTAACTACTTGTCAAACCAACAATAAATAAAGCCCAATAAGAAATCAGTGGGGGTTCTCCAACTGCATAAGGGGCTTGGCACACACACACAGAGACGCACAGACACAGAAACACACACAGACATCTTCCCCCACCACAGTGACCTTCCTGGCAAGCTCAAAGGTAGGGACAAACACTCCCTTGCTCAAGGGTTAGGTGGTGGGGGTGAGCATTCACTTCCCTGCCTGTGTTCATGAGTGCCTAGCACAGAACCCAGGGTCACAAAAACCCTAAAGGTCAACTGGTCTCTTGCTATAACACTCCAAAAGGGGAACCCCCAGACACAGCTTCCCAACCCCACTCTAACTTTGGCTGACAGAGCTGCAAGAGCAAACAAAGATCCCCTCCCCCACACCCTCACAGTCACATTAAAAGAGGCATGGAAAGCAGCCTGCTCCATCCCTCTTTGGGACTTCCAGGAGCCTCAGGACCATGGCCACTGTGTCTGTAAGAAGCTTCCTGTCCCCCAGGCTGGGCAGAGAGGGCAAGAGGAAGAGGAGCCTGTGTCACACCTCATCTAAGGCAGGGAAGCAAGGGCTGGTAGGGTGACCACAGCCATGAAGGTAAGCCCAGGCCTCAAAAAAGGGACAGTAAAGAAAAAAAACCCAAAAAGAATATGGGGAGAGGCAGGAAGACTGCAGCCCATAAGTCACAGAAATCCCTAACTCCTAGCTACATATGTCAGAGTGTTAAGACATATACTGCGAGTGTCCTAGAACCAACCGGTTTCTTTAGAGTAAAGGAAGCCAGATTCCCCAGTAGTTACTGGGTAAAGAATTGGGGAAAGAAAAACAGATGAAAGAAAATGATATGCAAACAAAGGCCAGAGGCCCAGGGGCTGCAAATCCTTCTCAGCAGGGGTAGAGAATATCATGTTCACATCTACAGGGACCAAATTCCAGAACCTCCTTCCCTGGAGCCCTGGTGTTCCATCAGGAAGCAGACAGCTAGGCATGGGGAGGGGAGGCTGGGGTGTGAGGAACACAGTGAAACTGGAGGGTAAAGGGCAGAGTCAGACCAAAGGAAGCCACAGAAGGGCCCATGGGCAGGGATTGCCAAGCACTTCCTGTCCCCAGCACTTGGCAGTGATGTGGGACATATCTGTGGCTAGGGGCTGCAAAGCTGGGCACAGTGCACAGCTGGGTGCTACCCTTCCACTCCCCTCTTGCTGCCAGGGCTCATTACCCAGTCACTCCTGAAAGGTACAGGACAGCCAGACTCTGCAGTGTACAGCACATGCTCCTGAGTGTCCTGATCTACCACAAGGTGATAGTGATGCCAGCAACTTGGGAAACAGGCTAACAGTGTGGACAAGGAGAGAAATGCTACTTTTTTGCATTCCACCTCACACACACTTGCACACGTAACTCTGTTCTGGGGCAGGGCCCATGTCCACACTGGCAGCACACATTCATTCCAAGCTTTCAGGAACCTTCAAGTTGGGCCTCACCTAGGCTGTTTCCGCCACAAGCCTGCAGAATCCGCCGGGCGCGTTTCTTGGCATCTTCTGGGAAGCTGGGGCTGTCCAACAGGTTTGGATAGGTACACAGGGCCATTACCTAAGAGCAAGTGTGGGGAATGAGCTCCCAGCACCCTACTCCAGAGCCCCAGGTCACTGTCAGAGGGACACAGGGCTGCTGGGAAGGGGACAATTTCCCAGTGCTGCAGGGGGCCTGGTCATATGGGATTGGCATGGGGGAGGACACCAGGTTTTTGTAACAGCAGGGAGACACTGAGGGCTGCAGTGCATTCCTGACCTGGGGTTGGGGAATTAGCATGAGCTGCTGCAAGAGCAACCAAGGAGTGGACACAGGCTGCCTTAAAGGCTTCAGCTCAGCTTACCCACAGCTAGGACAGTGGGTTCATACTGTCCTAGGATGGACAGTATGTCCACACAGGGTTACGCATGCCAGAGTATGCAAACCCCGGGGCACCAGGCAAGCCTCAGCTGGAAGCCAGTTAGCTAAGTTCACTAAAGTGGGGGAGTCTGGGCTCAGGGCACCAATAGTCTGGTTTCTGGGAGACGGGCTTTCCTCTCTCCGCACCACAGCGGGGACAGGGCCTGCCCTCTGCCCAGGGGCTTTTATGTAAACCAGAGGCAGAGCATGAGGGCTGCAACCAGGCAGCATTGTGCAGGAGGATGCACCTGCTGTGGCCCAGGGCACTGGTGGGAACATGTCTGGACAGTCAGTAAACAGCAAAGTAAAGGGCAGGGTACACGTGGCCTGGAGCTCCAGGCACATGTTGGGAACCTCTGGCAGGAGGCTACACTTGGCTCCTTCCCTCCAAAACCTGTGTCCATTATTGGGGACTTTTGCCAGCCCCGTGTCTGCTTCTCTGATGCAGCTGCTGTTTGTGTTCTTCTCTGATCCGATGTACTTCCCTATTCTGGGTGCAGCTCGGGGATCTAATATCCACACACAGTGGGCATTCTCTGAGGGTCAACAGTGTGGCAACCACACTACTCAGACGGGTTACATATCACACGGCCAGGGGAGGAGCCTTCCAGGCCAGAGTAACTCTCTGCCCCCAAAGAGACGGTTTGCTCCTCTTGCACCAAAGCTCAACTTCCTCACCTGTTTCAGCTTGAGAACCCAAGCCACGTACAATGACTGTTCCTCCTCACAGAGAAAGCCATCAGCAGCCAGGTCTCCCACAGCTGCTCAGGCTGCCCTGCGTTGTCCTCCAGACTTGCCTCTGGCCTGTTGCAGTTCTGGCGTGTGCAGCACACTTAGGGTTGGTGTCTAGGCTGAAGCACTAGCACTGCCTCCTCCTAGAGCCCTATGGTTCACAGCAGAGGCTTCTTGGAGACAGCAGGGGACAATGGTACCCTGGCCTGCACTCTTCTGCGGGGCGTAAAGGAGGCACTCACATTGTCACGTACCAAGGCTTCCAGCATCCTGCATGTCAGACTCTGGGGATGTCCACCTGCCCAAGGCCACCCTCAAACTCAAGGTGCCTCATGCACCACCTCCCAGCCCACTAGACTTTACCTCTCAGGCCAAAGCACACCTTTGTTTACCAAACTCCTAACTCAGGATCCAGGCTTGAGTACTGAGCTTTCTTGGAGTTGCCTAAACTAGAGCAAACCCAAAATAGGTTCAGACACGTGCAATTTTTCAGTTTTGTTTGCAGAGTTGGGGATTGAACCCAGGGCCTCAAGCATGTGAGGCAAGTACTCCACCACCAAGTCACATTCCAATTCTGTGTATTTATTTAACTTTGAAATAGGGTTTTACTAAACTTCCTGATCCTTCTGCTTCAGTTTCCTGAGCACCTGGGATGACAGGCTGTACTACTAGGCCCAGAGACTTAGAAGCTTTTGACAGCTTTGGAAGGACAGGAGCTAGGGGACTAAACCAGGGAATTTCTGGGACTCTACTTCAAAGGGACCTCGATGAGGGATTCTGGTATCTGTTATGTTCCAAGGGACAAGCAGACAGAGGCTGCCCTAGAAACCCATGCTGGATCCTCTCAGTCTCCAGTACCCTGCTTTCTCAGCAATCCCTGCTCCCAAGGGCTGGCTTACCTGTCGAAGGAAGGTGATTGGCTGCTGGCCCATAGCCTGGGCATCCCCTATATTGGCGCGAATGACCTCAGTGAATGGCTTTTTGATACCCTGAGCAGAGAGAAGGCAACAGATGGTTATTTAGACACTCTCAGTCCCAGGATTCCTGGAACCAAGCAATGATCACATAGGATATTAATAAGTTGTCCTATTTTGAGCCTTACTGAGCATCAAGCACAGTGCCAAGGCCTTGACATGCCTGCTCTCATTTAACCTTCACAACCATCTCATGAGGGAGAACTGGTATTTATCTCACTGGACAGATGAAGAAACTGTGGTTCCATAAAGCTAAGAAATTTGTCCAGTGTTATATAATAAATACAAGTACTGGACCTGAACCCAGGAAACACAATCCCAGGACCATTTTTCACTACTGTGTTCCACTAGCTTTCACTTTCTGGAAAGGCCAGGAGAGATTTCCTGGGTGCTAGAGGTCCATGACCTGTCATATCACAAGAATGTCTAAAAGATGGCTCTGGAGCAAACGTCCTAGGAAGTGGTAGGGCTAGCAATGATGCATGCCAAATGTCAGGCTGGATGCTGCAGATACATCAGCACCTTGATCCCAAGTTTGGTTCCATTAAAACAGTTTTATGTCAATAACCAGGGACACCAAGGAGACAGATCCTTCAGGAAACTCTGAGGGCCATTCCCTTGCAACCTTACTTTTGCAAAATGTAGAATATAGGCTGACTTTCACCTTTTTTTTTCTTTTAAAACGGCTGAGTTGAGACACTGAAGAACAAAACTTAGGCTATTGCCTGACCAAGGTGTTCGGCACAGAGAAGAGATTGTAGAAAGAGGAACTCAACTGCAGAAAGAGGAACTCCAGGGAGGTGACTAAGACACCCCAGCTGCTGCAAAGGTGAAAACACAGTTTGACATAAAGAACTGTGGAGACATAATAAAACGAGAATTCTGCATAGCCTCCTAATAAGTCTGAAAGAACTGGAATCAAGTTCAAAGACCTCCCACAGGGACTGAAAGGATAAACTGAGACAAATAGCATGGAAACACTTTGTAAAGTACAAATATTATCACCCTACAAAGCTGGCCAAGGAATGAGGGGTGACCCAGGCGGAAAGGTTTCGTTACCTCCCCATTTCCATTCACCATTTCTTAAAAGGTACCCTATATACAAATTGTAAAGATGTAATTCTATGGCTTTGACACTTGTTCTTTTCCCCACCTAGCATGATGTGTGAATAAGGCCAACTTTGGAAAGCTGTTTTTAAAAATCTGTAATTACAACATATGGCCAAGCACAGACACCCTGGACACTTGGTGTGGGCGTGTGGCCCCTGGGGCTCACCCACAGCAGGGGCCTGGAAGGCTGGCAGTGGGGCAGCTACTTCAGTTGCTATGGCAAAGGGGCAGGCTTAACTCACTCCTGACATTGGCCTGGTCCCCGGCACAGGACCCAGTAAGTCTGCTGAATTATTTCAGCTCCCAGAGATACAGCTTGGGGAAGACAGGCCATTTCGGTGGTCTATGCAGAGCCCGTGCCATAGAGTAGATGTGTCTTGGTGGTGTGCCTGGTAATCCCAGCACTCGGGGATTACCCAGGTAATCCCTGGTGCTAAATAGGCTAAAATAAGGAGGTGACATGGGAATGACTGCCTTTGTCTTGCTTTGTAGCTTTTGCCTGTTTGAGCCACAGAAGACATAAAAGGAAGTTCCCCTCTGTGTGTGCTCTGCCTTGGAACATGAGTTGGCTGATCTAATATATCGCTTAACCAATAAAATCCTGTTGCATTCAGGTTGATTATCTTTAGTTACACCAAATTGGAGGCCAGCTTGGTCTACATCATAAGTTTAAGGCCAACCTGAATTAGAGAACTTCTCTAAAAAATCTTTAAAAAAATCAACAAACTTCCAAAACCGCCTTAGAAAATAGCAAGGATGACAGGATGTGTGTTCAAAGACAGGAGCAGTTTGAGAGGTATTAACGGCAATGCCTTTTTCACTGCCACGCATTTTTAGAACTTTTACCACGTTTCAATCATATGTTGTAGCATTGTCTTTTGCAGCCTACAGGCCTAGTATCATGGAGATCAAGAGGCTGATGGGCGACTCTTAATAGGCACAAGGAAATAACACAGCTAAGGAAATAACAAAACAAAAAGACAACCTACAGAAAGGGAATATTTGAAAAATATATCTGATAATGAGCTAACACCCAAAATATGTAAGGAAATCCAAATCAACAACAAAACAAAAGGTAGACTAAGGATCGGAAGAGACATTTTTACAAAGACATTAAAATGACTAACAGGTATGTGAAGAAGGTGTTTACATCACTAATTGAATGCAAATCAAAATCACATGGAGATATCCTGCATACTTCTTTTTTTTTTTTTTTTTTGTCTTTTTCCTTTTCATCGGTACCAGGGATCGAACTCATGACTACCTGCTTGCAAGGCAGGCACTTATGCCGCTGAGCTAAATCTCCAGCCCCTATCCCACATACTTCTTAGGAAGGGTATATTAAAAAGTCAAGACTCTGTATTGTGAGGGTGTGGAGAAAAGAGAGCCCCTGTGCACTTGTTGGTGGGAATGCAAATTGGTGCAGTCATTGTGGAAAACAGGGTGGAGGTTCTCCAATAAATTAAAAATAGATTTACTACATGATTCACCAATCCTACTTTTGGGTACATGTCCATAGGAAATAAAACCAGTATCTCAAAGAAATGTACACTTTCATGTTCACTGCAGCATTACCCAGTTTTCAAAATATAATCTAGGTATCTGTTAACAAATGAATGTACAAAGATGTTGTGGTACATACAAATACAATGGAATGTTATTTGGTCAAAAAAAGATGCAAATTCTGCTGTTTGAGGTAACACAGATGAACTTGGAAGATACTATGCTAAATAAGCTAGAAACAGGCAAATAAGGTTTGTTGTTACTCATATGTGGAATCTAAATAAACTGAACTCAGAGCAGCGGTTGCCACAGGAGAAATACGGTTCAAAGTATACAAACTTTCAGGTATAAGTAAGTACTAGGGATCTAATATATAGCATGGTAACTACAGTCAATAATATAATGTTTACTTAGAATTTGCTAAGAAAGTACATTTTAAATGTTTACAGACTTCTCCAACAAAAGTAACTATGTATGATGATGGCTGTGTAAATAAGTTGACAGTAGTAATAATTTCACAGTATATACATATATCAAATCATCACATTGTACACCCTGACTATACACAATTTTTATTTGTCAATTATACTTCAATAATGAGACAGTTTCCTTGTGCAAGGAATGGGAAAGGAAATCCGGGTAGGACGGTTAACTAACAAAGAACCTCTCTTTAGCTCAACAAGTACTCTCAGCGTGCACACATACACACTAAACAAGACAAATACTGATGATCTGTTCCTAGGATAGAAGTAAATAAAAAGTGAGTGCAGAGAAGAGAGGCAGCGAGTGGGAGACAGGTCATGTGAAAAAGGACCCACGCTTCCTGACCCTCAATGGGAATGAACAGGACTGGGGCAGGCAGGGAGTGATACAGGGCTCTACAGTCCAAACAGACTCTGAAAACGGGGTCCTGAGAAAACAGGGTATTTTACAGAGAAGGCAACTAAGGCTCAGCACAATGTTTAGCCCTACCATGAAAAGGCAGGTGGTGCATAACTGTAATCCTGGTACTCCAGAGGCTGAGGTGGGAAGATCGCCAAGTTCAAGGCTAGCTGGACAATTAGCAAAAAACTGGCTTGAAATAAAACTTAGGCTGGGGGTGCAGCTCAGTGGTAGAGCACTTGGCTGCCATGCAGGACATGTAAGGCGCCCTGGGTTATGTGCTGCACATAAAAAGAAAAAGGTGAAGCCAGAGGAGCCCAGAGCAGCAGCAATACACATCTGTGGGCGGGAAACTAGGTGAGTGTTCCAACAGCCAAATTTCCTAACTATTAAAGAAGAGGTTACCTTTAACTAGGTATGGTTGTGCTCATCTGTAATCTCACTTGGGAGGCTGAGGCAGGAGGATCACTTGTGAACGTGAACAACATAGCGAGACCTTGTCTCAAAAAAAAAAAAAAAAAAAAAAATACAGCAGGGAAGTCTGGGTATAGGCCCCTAAACCTAGGTGGGGCCAACTGCAGAAATCCAGATTTGTAAACAGAAGCAGGAACAAAAGCTTAGTTATTTCTAAATGGGATCCTCTGTGAAAGCCAGGCTGAGCACCAGGCAGGAAAAGCAGACCCACCCTGAGGGCAGGTTTCCTGACAAAGGAGACTTGGGAGGAAGGAAAGGAAAGACTACCCTCAGAACTTTCAAGCCATCCATCCCCTAAGCTTGAGGCCAAAAAGTCAGCTTTTGTTTTTTGAAACAGTATCTCTCTTTCTGTGGCACAGACTGGGCTCAGGCACCCTCGAGTCTCTCAGACCCTGGGCCCCTGCCTTTAGCCTTGGCTACACTTCACACTGGGCTAAAAACAAAGCCTCTCAATCATTTTAATTGGCTTTTGGATGTTTGAAGCATTATCACTAACGCTGCAAACTAGTTTTCAGAAGAAATAAATTGGTTTCATTTCACAGAAAAACAAACTGAGGCTAAAGTGCTCCAAGTAACTTGTCCTAGGCACACAGCACCTAAAGACAGAGCCTAGGTGCGCACCTGTGGCTGGGTGAGGGGGAGACAGGAAGGGGCTCATCCTGCTGGAAGCCTACACTACCTGTCCTTATCTTACTCATCTTGGTTTATTAATTATTATTCTTTAATTTTTCATACTTTGAGACAGCATCTAAATGACCAGTGTGATTTCACCTGTGCTTGGCACATCCAGAGGTACCAATCCTAGTTCTAGCTGACTATAGCTGTGCGCTGTAGCACCCTGTTTTTAATTTGTGCTTAGACTCTACACAAGCAGAAGTTGACAGCAGTAATCAGTCTTCTCTATTTCTGAACACTTTGGCCTGTGTGTCTTGCTATTTTGTCCAGGAGGACCTTGAACTCCTGTGCTCAAGAATTCCATCTCAGCCTTCTGAGCAGCTGGGACTACAGGTACTCACTGCCACTCCCACCCAGCTCATGTGTGGAAACAGTAAAGCCATTCCTCGGTCTCAGCTTGTGCCAACTCCTAACCGTTGGCCCCCAGTAAAATGAGAAAAAGAAGTAGGTTGAGGAACTGTCAGTTCTTTTCAAAACTCCTTTAACTGCAGCTTATTTTTAAATGATGCTCCTAGCCGTACTAGAGGAAAAAAGCTAAGACAGCTGCTCTTTACTCTTGGAAGAAACAGAGCCTCCCTAAGAGCAAACAGCCTGGGGTGGAGAAGAATGACCCCTTTCACACCCTTGAGCCACCATCTCCTCTTCCTTCAGGCTCTCTGGTCTGCCACCACCCCAAAGTCAAACACCAGAGCCACATGTGTGTGTCTGACCTTTTGCAGAGCATTTGGTGAAACAATTCCACAAGGCGGCATGAGGGTGCTGGTACTACTTGGAGTCATCTCAGGTTCCCCAGGCCACTTTTATAGGTGTGAAACCTGGGTGCACTGTAGGCCAGTTAGGCTCTCATCTGCATTCCTGCTTGCTCACTCGCAAGCTCTTTAAGCAGGGTTTCACTCTGTGCTTCCACGCTTGCGTCAAATTCATGGCAAGCCTCCTGCCTCAGCACTCCTGAGTGCTGGGATTATGGGTGTAACCCGCCTCTTCTCTCCTTTCATAAACTATGGAAACAGAGGCCCGGAGAAGATATGGGACCTACCTCGGGTCATTCTACTCCCTACAAATCCTATTCCATCCATCTCTTGCCAAATCAAAGCCCTTATATGCTAATCCAACTTTGATCACTACAGTTCAAAGCTGTATAATGCCAAGGGATGCTGGGTGGGGTGGGGTGGGGTGGGGTGGCGGGAGCATCCACAATATGCAACTGTTTAAAAAGACACTTTGAGACACTTAAGTGAGAAGAGAATCAGAAGGGACACCCAGAGCAAAAGCACCAGAGAATATGGGTGTACAGAAAGCACTCAACTAACTTGGAGGGTAGGATACGGGGTGTGGAACACCTGTTTTAGAAATCAGAGAATGCCTCCTGCCTAATGACCAAGGAACGTGTCCACATCCAGTCCCTGAGTCCCCCCTGCCTGGAATATTTCTTGGTTGCCCCGGTCCCCCAAAGGCTCTGTAAAGTGTGGAACTTGGAGTACAAGCCTCCATCTCCTTTGCCTCCCAGGCCTTCCAGCAAACAGCTCTGTTAGGAGCACCACCTCCCTGCCTGAATGCCAGAACTTTCCGATCCCTTGTCTTTGGTCACAGCTCCACTTCCACTTGGATTGTTCTGTATTTTCTGTGCCTGTGAAAGATCCCACCATACTTAATGAATTGGGGGAGGAGAGGCAGAGGCTGAGGGAACAATATGGCAGTCAGTTCCCCACAACAGAGCCCTCTCTGTCCTCATCCTCCTTATGCTTACTGGAGCCAATGTGGAAGCTGCTGTCTAACAAAAGGTACAGATAATTCCCGCAAGCCTTCTCAGAGCTGGAACCAAGAAATCAGGACCTGTGCTGTGCTGCGATAAACTGGGAACACTTTAATCCCAGATTTGTTTTAGCAGGGAGATCGCCACCTTGCTCCTTGCCTTGAGGAGGGCCGGGGCAGATCACCACACACCAATAAAGAACAGAGGAGCAAAAACACGAAATCTTTGCTCCTGGCCCATGGGCCAGGAGGCACAGAAACTGAGCCAAGTTTTTCCTGAGCCAAGCTTTAAACTTAGCCCTGCAAGGTGTCAGAAAGAAATGTACTCTTGACTTGTCTAATGCACTGGTTTGAGTCAGCAAGTCCTCTTGGGAATGGGGGTTAAATGTCATTATTCCCTGAGACCTTCTTTACTGTACTCAAGGACACTGAGTAATCACTTTGCTTGGGAGACACTGATCCGGTGCCTCTGAGAGAAAGCCAGGGAATCTACCTGGCATAGGAAGGCAGGAATCACCCCTAGCTGTTTGGTCACTTTACATGTGCCAAGATGTCATGTGGCTACCAAGATGAAGAAAGTTCAAGGGCCACCAAAGGCACAACCCTCTAAATCTCCACAGCTAATGCCTGTCTTCACATAGAAAAAGGGGCCAGCCTATCAAGATTCCAGAGGGGCCTAAAAGAAGGAATTCTTTTCAACCCTACTCTACACTCCATTGCTGTCTGGGAATTATAACTAGTAAAGACCCAACAGACCTCAGACAGAGAAAAGCTTCAGGAACAAACTCTCCTCAGTCTCCTTCCCCTCCTACCTAACACGGCTTCCCTCTCATCACCCTATCCAAGAAAAGTATTCCACCTCCTCCAATTTTCTTTTTCAAATCACTTATTCGCTGTCAACTCTCTCTGGTTCGCTTGCTGTTTTCTTTCCTCCAATGGATCCTGGTTCCGGGAGGGTAACTCACACAACGAACATGTAGTTCCTAACAGAATGGGTTGGTCAATAATTGGACATAATTCAACAAGTGAACCGTATCAGAAGGCCCTACTCTGTGCCAAGTTCCAGGCACTAGCCGGAGACGGGTCGGCGGGGCGTACTCTCGTTCCACCGGTCAGGGAGTGGGACAGAGTCCATGGGTTAGGGAGCCTAGCACGCTTGCAGCCTTCCCTCCGCAGTGCCCGGCGCCCGCCCGCGCTCACCCGCTGCAGCTCGAGCTCGATTTCGCCAGCCTTGAGCACGATGGGCCCACGCACGGCGTACTCCACCGCGCGCACCTGAGGGTTCATGGACTCCGGAGTCAGGATGCGTCCGCGCCTAACCGGGAGCACGGCCGGGGCCTCGGCAGGTGCGCTGCTCCAACTGCGGCCCCAGGCGCCCGCGGCGCGGGGACAGCAGCCCCGCCGCACCAGCACCGCTGCCCGTTGCATCGCGCGCCACCGGGAGTCTTGGCACAAAGGGGAATACACGCGTCGCGCACGGCCCACGGCAGCTGCCTGCGTCCTCACACGCCTAGCCCAAGGTTCCTCGGGTGAGCGGTGCCACCCTCGCTGCGGGCACGGGCGCCATGCCCCGGCAGTGGGGCCCCTTCGCCGCGAACCAGCCGCACAGAGCACCAGACGTTCACACAGTATGCGCCGGGCCAGCGAGTCTGGAGAGGCCCCAGGCTGCTTCTCCACCGCGCACACCCACCTCTGCGGCTCCACCCGGCCCGCGCGTTGCCTCATGGGCCATGTAGTCCGCTTGCTACTCCACCGCCGCCAAAGCAGGGCCAGATGGACTGCAAGTCCCATGGTGCATCGCGCCAACTGACGGGGGCCGGGCAGGAGGCGGGCGAGCTTGCAGGGTTTGGCTCGGGCTGGGTGGGCTCTTTGTTCTGGAGGAGGTGGAAAGGGGACTTAGAGAGGGGTGAAGGGCCCCAAGGCCTGTCTGACCTGGGCTGTCGGGGCTGGGTTGTTCCAATTTAGAAGTGTTTGCAGTTCGCCGTGGAGACGCATCCTGCCTCTTTCCACGAACCTCACCTCCCATCACCTGCAAGAATACGGGCTCGAGATGGTGTAGTCCTTGCCTAGGGTTTCATCATCCAGGGCTGTGGCGCTAGGCGTTCTGCAGCGCTGGTGGAGCAATGATGTTAGGCGTCTGGGTTTGTCTGTGCACCCACGACTCCTGTTACCAGCAGCTTCCTTGTCAGCAAAATCCTCTGAGGGTTGTCGTGAGAATTAAAAATTCTTATACCAGATGATAAGGTTTTTCCTGGCCTTTCCATCCCTGCCCTGCTTTATTTCCTCTCTAGCATCTAAAATTACCTGGATACTTCTCACTGGTTTGTGCCCCATCCTGCGCTATGTAAACTCCAAAAGGCCAGGGTTGTGAATGTCTTCGCCTTACAGCATTTTTTAGTAGTTCCCAGCTCATAGAAGTCAGTAAATATTTATTAAAGAAGAATGCTCAGCACAGAGTGGCTATTATTTTTGGTGAAGACATCGCAAAGACTCACTAGGGTGAGTGTAGATGGTGCAGGCTAAGAATACAAAATGCGGGCACTAAGATATCAAAATCTACAGAAAAGACAAACTAGCCACTTCTTTTGGCCTCAGGCTATTTACAAAATAAATTGAATTAGATGCCTCCTTGAAAGTTCTATGAGTCTTGATGTTCTCAAGCATAAAAGTAGCTCAGAATTCCCACAGCTCAGTAAACATATACATTCATACTAGGTTTGTAAAAGTTAGAATCGGAAGACAAACCCAGCAGTGTAGGAGAGGAAGTATGGGGAAATGAATTTGGTTTGAACATAGTTGTGTACAGTCACTTACTGTGTACATGATTTTGAGCATGTTACTCCACTTACTGTGTACATGACTTTGAGCATGTCACTCCACTTACTGTGTACATGACTTTGAGCATGTCACTCCACTTACTGTGTACATGACTTTGAGCATGTTACTCCACTTACTGAGTACATGACTTTGAGCATGTTCCTCGGCCTTGGTATGTAAAGTGGGGATAGCAACACTTAACCTCTGGCAACTGTGGAGAAAGTTCAAAGAGGTGACTTTGTACAAATCACACCTTGGACCCTAACACTGAGTCAATCTTGTTCATCCTTGTAAAGAGAATGCCATATATTAAAATAAGTCGATTACCAGTAAAGTGGGGTAGAAGAAGGACCGAAACCAAAGATATCTCTGAGCATTCCTACTGGGGATAGCAAGCAGGCTTAACCTACAAGGAGGGTCCCGAGGAGCTGCTTAGGCTTCTAATGTACTAGTTCTACCTCTTGCATCTGCATTTACATTCTTTTCTTCCCAGTCTCCCAGGCAAGATATTCTCTGCGATACTCAGATATCTGACCTTTTCTGAAAATCTTCTCCACTGCCTTCATTATCATGTCACCACCCAGTTTACTCAGTTGAGGGGACACACAAACACATCTCTACCTCTGAGTTGTGCTTAACCTTGTTCTATGTGTTCTTCAGATGCACTTCCAGTCACATTCCAATAAATGCAGTTGCTTGCTCTCTGCACAGAGCCAATGCACTGTGTCCTTCCTGCTCTCTCTGCCCCTAATCAGTAGGAGCAGGGAAGCTGGGAAGGAGGGCTTAGGTAAACAAAATCCACTTGCACAACGGGGACAAAAAACACCCAGCACATGACCTGCTTACGTGGGCTCCAGTGTCATCATAGAAAAACAAGTAGTTATTGTCTGTGTAGCACAGCCTATGTCAACATGACTCCCCGAGATTGCATAAGAAGGAAACTTCCTTTCTCTGTTGTGAACAACAGTGTATAGGCACTTTCTTGTCTGAAAGGGCAGTTTTATCATTGGTTTTCAGAGGTTCAGAAAGGCAAAGTAACTTGTTAAGGTGGCACAGCTAAGTGTAGAGTAAGAACTGAGCCTCCTGATACAGTGCTACAGCCCCACCCACTTAGGGACCAGTCTTACATAGCAGTCTGTTTGGAAATTTGAACTGCCCATGCACAAGTCCCAACACCCCACTGTAAGGAACAGCATGAGACAGAGACAACCAGGCTTGTGTACAGGTAACTTGGTAGGGAGTTTATTGTGCCTGGGTGCAGGCAGGTAGAGGGTGAAAATACCTTCTGGTAAGAACAAAGAGAAGCAGATTTTTTTTTTAATAGGGCTTGAAAGAAAGCAAGGGACATTACCAAAGGAAGATCTTACTATACATCAGTGGTCAAAGTTCTCTGTACATCTTGTGCCTCAGTGGGCAAAGTCTTCGAGGCATCCAGTGTAAATGTCCGAGTGTCTTCAGATATTTGGCTGTTTGAAAGATCCCAGGCTGCATCATGTCTCTTCTATGTCCTTTGTTTGCTGAGGGCAGCCTGGTGCTGGGCTCAGAATAATGCCTCTGTTGACAGGTTGAGTATTGGGAGAGATATGTCTGAATTGAGTCTTACTCTCAGAGTAAATATTATCATTAGGTACTACTGATACAGGAGAAGTGTAATTCCTAACATACTGGATTTCAGATGTGCTAGTTTATGTCCCCTGAAATTGAAAAATGAATTCCAAAGGGCGAAGGAGTAGGAAAAATTTATTGAGAAATAGCTCCTGAGAGAAGGAGCAGTCCCAGAATCAGGTTGCCACTGAGGTCTTTTATTAGAATTAATTTATACAGCAAAGTCACAATGTGGGTATTATGTAGGTCAAACTATAACCAATCTATAGTACTGCAAGTATAGTTGCTTAGCTGATACTGATCCAATAGAAAAGCAGGTCACGTAGCAAGGATACATGGAAAGAACAAAGGCATTTTTGGGAAAGGATGAGTCTGGATGCTTTGATCATCCACCTGGGTGACTGATGCCTACCTGGACTCCCTGGACCAGTTGGTGCTAATTATAGTATAATTCAGAGTTACTGCTTGTTATGGATTAAAAGCTGGTGATCAACTTAATGCTAGTGGAATTAAATCACCATGGTACTGAGTATAGATGTTCCACCTGAGGAAAGTTGCCAGCATAAATAGAGATGTAGAGAAGGAGGCGTGGAGGCATTGTGGGTTTCACTAAGTGTTGCTGTTTGAGCCGTTGGTTCTCCTGGAGGAGCTCTGGTCCTTATACCGATCATTGCTTCCTGGCTCTGGAGGAGAAGACATGTGCCACTTAATCTCCAGGACAAACTCGTCATGCTGACTTCTTGGTATGCACTCAACTGTGCTTATTGTCAGAGAAGCTTGAAACTTCCGTATCACTGAGGATGGCTATGGTAATTTTCAGGACAGCCCTGGTCTTTATTATGAGTGTGACTTCTCGGCTCCAGCATAGAACCCCTAATCTACCAGCACAGTTCCTTTACCCCGCTGGCGTAGACTTTCTGGCTTCCAACATGGACTTTTGGCCCTTCCCAGCGTGGATCTGTAAAAGAGACTGGCATGAATCCTTTTTGTGGGCTCTAGATCTCCAATTGGACTCGTGGGAGGCATTGTCATGGGCTCTCAGTTCTCATCTGGACTCATGCAGGACATTGCTGTGGGATTCAGGCCCTTGGCTGAATATTCTATGTCTTTAATGTTGTGGATAGATTTCCTGCAGTTTCTTGTGTTAACTCTGGGTGACCATCAGAAAATAGTATTATAAATTCCATGTCCCGATTTTAATTGTTCTCCTCACAACCTCTGACTACAACACTGTTTATTCCTTAGGGAGGTGTGCAGGCCTGGCCATTGCATCTTTGTCTTGAAGCTTAGTCTTCAGATGTACCTCCAGTCACAATTCCAATATTATTGTTTCTGCTGACTTCCTTGAGAGCCCAGATCCTGACTGCATACTAACCTCTATCTAACTTGGCTGCCTATAATACTACAAACATGAACAAATAAAAATTTAAACAAGAGCTGGGTGTGGTGATGCATGCCTACAATCTCAGCCCTCAGGAGGCTGAGGCAGGAGGGTCATCATGAGTTCAAGGCCAACCTGGGCTACATAGTGAATTCAAGACCAGCCTAAACTACATAGCAAGACCTTGTCTCAAAGAACCAAAGAAAATTTTTTTAAAGAAAGGTACATTTGGGGTTGGGGATTTAGCTCAGTGGTATAAGTGCCTGCCTTGAAAGCACATGGTTGTGAGTTCAATCCCCAGTACCAACAACAACAACAACAACAAAAGGTACATTTAGTGTTAAATTATTACTATATCTTGTTATTCAATCAATTAAGTGTAATTCTACTTCTACTGGGTTAATAAAAATTGAACTCAAATCAATAATGCTCATACCTGGCTGTTACCAAGTTCTACGGTGCTGGGGACTCCTAGAGATTCTTTCTGTTGCAGTAGATCAGACTGATATTAGTCCAGGTTCTGGCAAAGAAGGAACTATCAAGTGTATACCTAGTACTAAGTAGCAGATAGATATATTTATTGAAGGTCACAATAAGTTGTGCTGGGGCAAATCCATGGCACCATAAGCTAAAACCCAGACAGAAAAGCACTGCACACAGGTCAAAGCACACAAAAGTAGCAACAGCAACAAAGCAACAAAAACTGTGAATAAATCAGGGTTTTGGAATTTAAAAGCCAAGACTTTCTGCTTCGGTGTGTCCCGCCAAATCTCTAGGTGTGATTGACAGAAATGACTGACAGAGAAGTGTTATGTTCGGGGCTCTCAATACACATTTGTCCTATAATTCACTCTGTTGTTAATTATGTTTATGA